TGAAAGGGCCAACACAGACAGTGAGAGGAGTCTGAATCTGTCTTATGACACATTACATTCATAACCAGCTTGCAATAGCCAACTTACTCAAGCAATGGCCACATTAGTCACCTCTCGACATGATCGCACTGGGGACTGATGTCCTAATGCCACAAGTTTTGGGGACCCAGTCACACCACATCACTAATTATGTGAACTTGTCGATCTTTTGGTGGCTCAGGCATATCTGAATCCAGGCAGGGACTTGTCTGTCATTTCATGACCAACTCACCAATACAGTGTGTACTTTGAGGACAGAGACTTTCTCTGTCATCTGTACTATATTTTGAGGACATTAGGTGTAATCCGGGTGCACAGCTGCTTGGTAAATATTTAATCACAGTGAAGTATAGCTCTCCTTCCTCTCTATTATGCTCACTAGCTCTAAGGCAGGAGAACTTGGCTTCCTTCCTTCCTTCCTTCCTTCCTTTCTTCTTTCTCTCCTTCCTTATCTTTTCTCTCCCATCCATCCTCTGTAATCTACCCATTCATTGTGCATCCATCTACCCATTTATCCACTCATCCGTCCTTCCTTTCTTCCTTCTTTCCTTATTTGGGAGCCAGCATGTAGCTCCTTTTCGTTTCATTTTCCTCTGTGTGAGCTTCTCCTACCAAGTTTCCCCCTCTTGAGCTCCTACCCTCCTCCTGATACCACAGCGCCATGCACTTCTCAGTATTTCAAATAAGGTCCGCAGGGTACCATCCAATTGGTTTGGCTTACATTGTTAGCCCCCATCATTATGAACGGATTGAAATAATGTTTGCCAATTGTCCAGGCCTGGGTCTCGTGGCCACTGCCAGGATTGGAGGTCATGTCAGTTTCCCATGAACTCCATGGAACTGAGAATAATGGAGGGGAATTTTGGGGGTTTCCTCGAATAAAATCAGGAAATTGTTCTTGGAGGAGGACTAGATGATCCCAGGCAGAGAAAAACAACAGATGTGCGCTGTGGTGACAGCAGGGCGAGGAGGGGAAGGGGAAGGCAGTGGCGCCGACGACCTGGCATTTTTCTATACATCAGCTATTCCTCAGCCATGGTCAGCTCCTGCTCCTCTTGGGCTAATGTCTCCTGTCTAAAACACTCATCTGTGCCCTGAGCCCTGTTCATACAGATAACAGCAACTCCTTCTTCAAGGCTTGGTTTGGCTATCACTTCCCAGGAAGGACTCCTATAGTGCCCACACTCCCTACGTCACAGCTCTTACCACGTTCTGTGATTCTCTGATAGTAGCAAGTATCATTGTTCATGTTCCCACCATAATGCATATTCTCTTAGGCTCTATATGTCTTATACTCTGCAGTATTTCCTGGTATAGTGTCTAATATAGTAACAGCTACATAAGAAGTATCTCATTGGGATTTAATGACAAAGGATATAACTTCTCCTTATCCGCAAATAGTGTCATCAGATCAAAAAGAGAAAAACTAACTGTATAGTACCCATTTTACCTTTCTTCCCACCTTTCTCCTCTCTTTCATCCCCTTTCCTTCCACTTCCCACCCATGCATCCCTCCATCCTCCCTTCCATCCACCCGTCCATTCAGCCTTATCCATCTACACATCATGCATGCATACAGAAATACAGTGACAGCTGATGGCAGTCTGCCGTGACCTAGTGCCTGAGGCAAGGGCCTACCTCAGGACTTCGCATTCTAGTTGGGACAAGATAGTCTCTGGACAGGAAAAATGAACAAGTGGACATAGAGATCAAGTTCTATAGAGATCATAAGTCATTTCAGTGGGAGGTCAAACACGTTGTAGAACTTCCCTTCTTTCTTGGATGTCTTTGAAACAGCTTAGCCCAGGAGTTGTGGGCAGACGTCCATGTTCCTAGGTTGGCCCTACCCGAGGATCAAGGCACAGCTCGACTGCATCTGTGAGAAAATGTTTCCTAGCAACTGATCCTTTTGATGTCTTATAAAGCATGCCCCCTTATGGATGCTCTTGACTTCCAAGCTCTCTGTTATAGTTTGCATTTAAATGAGGGTCTAACAGATCTCCACCATCCTTCCTTCATGATCTGGGAAACTGGGAAAGGCATGTGAATATAGCAAAAGACAGCAAAAAAGGCCAGGCCTAGGGATCAAAAGACCCAGCCTCCAGTCTCAGTTTCTTTGAATAAGGGATTACTACACCAAGATCCCTAGAGGACCTCCTCGGTCTTGCATTCTGAGAACACACGAGTCCAAGATAGTGTCTCAGCTTATGTGTCCCTTTGAGGCTGTTCTCTAGAACCGCTGTGCTAGGTATCATGTGGGATGGAGCCCTCTGGATAACACACACACACACACACACACACACACACACACACACACACCCTATCCTAGTGTACGGCTGCTAAAAACCAGTCACTTTGCACCTCTATTTCTAAAGTACCTATGCCTGCCCCTGTCTGGACATCACCAGGAAGGCATGAAGACACACATCCCATCCATAGACACCTTGGGTGTAGCAGCATGGTTGAGACTCTAAGTTCTTCTGAATCCCTGTGAGCTTTAGGCTCCTGTCATCCCTTTGCATGATAGAGGAAGATGTACCAAGAGGGAGCCGCAAACTTGTGCCCATTAGACTCCCACAGGAAGTCAATCATCTTGGCTTGGAGCCTTAACTCCATGGGTTTTTGTGAGAAACAGATAGTGTGGTGTGTGCAGAGCTTAGAAAAGGCTCAGTCTGTAGGAAGTGCTCAGTAAATGTTAACTGCTGTTGCCCTTTTAATTGATATCACACTGCCTCCTAGAGTGGGCTGAGGATGGTTTGAAACGCTCCTTCCATCGAAGTAGATAACTGGACAATGTTTGTAAACTCTGAAGTACCAGATAAACTTAAGTACGACTTAACAATCCTGAATTGGCAACATAAAGCAGGCTCTCTAGACTATTAAACCAAAGTCTCTCCCGAGGAAGCCAGTGTTTCAGTCCAGTTGGCTCTGGGTATCTGTCAGTTTGGCATCTGCGGAAATATTCAGTAAACTTCAGGGAATATTCAGAAAAAAAAGTCTATACTAAGTATGGACAGACTTTGTCCTTATAATTATTCTCAGCACAGTATGGCGTCTATTATATAACATCTATTACAAGTGACATAAAGTCTACAGAAGGACAGACTCAGGCTTTACACAGTTTTATGTAAGAGGTGAGCATTTGCAGATTTTGGCATCGGTGGGGGAATTTCTGAGAACCAGTCCTTCATGAATAGCAAAGGACAACTGTAGTTAAATAAAGGCAACAATCGAGGGTTCCGGTGTAAATAAACCTGTTTCAGAGTGGTCTGCAAATAAGTTCTGCAGTAGCAGCTGCCTGACATGTCACCTTTACAAATGAATTCCCTGTTATCTTCGGGGTCAGGATTCAATGGGATCACGGGCAGCTGGGCCCCAGGTTCTCAGGACTCCATTCTTCATGCATGGGAACTTTAGGACAATCCAGGAACACTGTGTGGTTCAAGAGAAGTGAAAGGAAATTAGGCGATGGGGGCGGGGATACTGAGGCAGAGGAAAATGGTGGGAGCACCCTGCTGGGACTTCACCCTGCAGCATTAGACAGATACACACGTGAATGACTGAGCAGATAATCTAAGCAGTGGTTCTCTACCTTTCAGTACAGTTCCTCATGTGGCGGTGACTCAACCATAAAATTATTTTTGTTGCTACATCTTAACGGTAATTTTGCTACTGTTATGAATCAAAATGTAAATGTCTGTGTTTTCTGATGGTCTTGGGTGAATCCTGTGAAAGGGTTGTTTAAAGGGGTCCCGACCCACAGGTTGAGAATCACTGATGTAGGCATACAGAGAAAGGCTTCCCCCACCACCCATATGAACTGCCTGGTACAGATGATAGGCTGCTGCTGAGATGAGCTGAAGTAGAGAAGTCGATGTAGCAATCATCCCTAATCCCAGGAGGGTGTGTGTGTCTAGATCCAGACAGCAGTTAGCAACATGCCAGCAAAACCCCAGAGCTGAGTGCCTCTGAGTGTAGAGGGATGGGGGAGCATCACAGGGGGAGGTAGGAACCCCGAGAAGACCAAAGTAGGTATTTCCAGTTCTTGACTACATGCTCTCTGCATCAGTTATGGCCTAAAGACCCTTGGGAACAACAGGACCTCTTTGCTCACCTGCTAAGGCTGCAGTCGTTCCTTCCGGCCACTAGATGTCAAGCACGTACCAGTAAGAACTCTTTATGGGCTGTGGGGGTTTGCAAGAGTTTACCGGAACCGGCATCCTAGAATGGATGAAATCAGCGAGAAGTGGGTTCTTGTGGCTTTGGGGTAAATTGCAAGTGAGCCATGCGGGTGGGCTGCAGAGAAGTCTCCATCAAGATCAGAGAAGAAACGCTAGCTTCACTTCTCATTCATAGGACGCTTGGCAAGTTTAGAAAAGTTTCAGGATGAAACTTGGGGCTCAGAATTCCCCCTGTTATAATCATATCCTGTTTTGTTATAGGAGACGAGTAGCAGAGTGCAATTTGCTTTGTTGGGATTCTTTGTATAGCCACGGTTGAGTGTATTCCAGGGACCACAGAGTATCTATTAGGTTACGTAACAAGGCAGTTTGCAAAGCCCATTTTAAGGGCTTTCCCACTGACTTGGGGGTAGAGATGAGGAGGAAGGATAGAAGGGTTACATCTAGCAGGACTAGAGATGACAGCCAACGAGGGCCCAGCTTGCCATGCCACTTGTGGGCTGTGGTGGCTCTTCTTCATTTCCTGTTTATTAGCTTGTGCTTGACACTTAGCAGGGACTTGATGATGTGGATGATGATAATGAAGAAGAGAGTGATGTTGATGTCACTTGTGATAAAGTCAGTGTACCTGAGTAGCATCTTCATCTCCAGCCCTCAGGAAGTTTGAGCAGAAGTAAAGCAGTTAAGCTGTGTGGAGTCTGAAGTGGGGCCCAGGGACCATAGGATGTACTGTGCAGAGCCGTAACAGGCTACTGGTTTCTTGTACGCATGTGTCCCCAGGTCATGAAAACTTACCACATGTACCACGCGGAGAGCATCAGTGCGGAAAGCAAGCTGAAGGAGGCTGAGAAGCAGGAGGAGAAACAGTTCAACAAATCAGGAGACCTCAGCATGAACCTGCTCCGGCATGAGGACCGGCCCCAGCGCCGCAGCTCTGTGAAGAAGATTGAGAAAATGAAGGAGAAGGTGAGTGGGAGAAATGGGCCAAGGCACGAAGAGGAGAGCCATGCACTCAGCTACAGACTTGCCTTCCTCTTTGCATGAAGGGTCCTGTCCTGGTTCTGTTTGTGTTGCTATGATTAAATAGTCTGACAAAAAGCCATTTAAGGGGAGAAAAGAGTTTACTCTAGCTCACAGTTCCGGGTTACAGTCCATAACAGGAGGGGCATCCTGAAAATGGCTTGTCATATTGCAGCCACAGTCAAGAGCGGAGAGAAATGAACACACTCGCCCACTCAATTGCTTGCTTATGCTAAGCTGGCTGTATTCACTTAACAAAGTTCAGGACCCAGCCAATGAAAGAGTGCCACCCACATTCAGGATGGGTCTTCCTATTTCATGTCACTCAATTAAAACAATGCTTTACAGGCATGCCCAGAGCCCAACCCAGTGTAGACAGTTCTTCATTGAGATTCTCTTCCCAGATCATTCCAGATTGTGTTAAATTAACAGTTAGAGCTATCACAGGCCCGCTGTGAAATTGTCATGGCCATGTCAAAGACCATAGCTTCAGAATCACTGTGTATGGGTGTCACAAAACCTTTTTGTAGGTGTGATGGAGAGAGCTCACGATTTCGAGGCTGATAGCCTGGGGTTGGTTTGTTTGTTTACTTCTGTGTGTTGTGTGCAAGTGTGTGCACATTTGTATGCCAGTGTGCTTCTCACCTGCGTGCAGGTATGCAGAGGCCAGAGGCTGACATCAAGTATCTTCCTCTCTTGCTCTCTCTGCCTTACTCTTTGAGGCAGGGTCTAGCTCTGAACTTGTAGTGCATTGATTGGCTAGATTGGCTGGCCATCAAGCCCCAGGAGTCTCCTATCTCCCAGCTCTGGGCTTATGGACCTGCGTTGGGTTTTCACGTGGGTGCTAAGGATCCAAGCAAGTCTTTATGCATACAGAACCAGCACTTTCCCCACGAGCCTCTCCCCAGCCTCTCAGCTGAGGTTTTCCATGCTGTATTAACAGTCTCCCTGACCTTCAGTTTTCAAATCTGATAAATCAATCTTATTGCTCACGATGGCTCTGATATATTGATAGCGGCTGACCAGAGGGCACTGTTGGGAATCCTCAAACCTTCTCAAAGCTTAGTTGAAAAGGTGCTGGGATCACTTAACGATGTCTGCTATGGCCAGGGAGTTTTGCAGGGCAGGCCCCATCTGTGGCTGCTAACTCTTTCTCTTCAAAGGCTATGATCTTCTTGCTGAACACTCCGTATCCATCTGCTCCCCGCAACCAGGAAACATTTGCAGAGTTCTTCTGCATGCAAGTCATTACATCAGATGTTTGTCTGCTCTTCTATGGGTCTAATTCTATGATTACAGGATCCGTTAGCTCTAGAAATTATAGACTGGGTAGGAACAAAGTGTAACAGAACCTGGGTAAACTGGGAAGCATATGAAAGTGTGTGTGTGTGTGTGTGTGTGTGTGTGTACTGGCATAATTTTTGAAAGTGAGGAAAGTACAAAATCCAGTCAAAGATTTAATACCAAAATGTGCAAGGAATTTGAAAAGACATTTATTATTATTATTATTTTATTATATGTGTGTTTTGTCAGCATGTATGGAAATTCCCCACTTTTATACATGATGCCCTCAGAGACTAGAAGGGGATCCCTTGGAACTGGACTTACAGACACTTGTGAGCCACTATGAGGGCATTGGGAATTGAACCTGGGTCCTCTAGAAAAAGAACCAACACTCTTAACTGTGAGCCATCTCACAGAATAGACAATTCTTAAAAACCTGTCTAGGTGGTCTGTAAACACAGAACAATTTCCTCAGCATCATTAGCAATGAAGGAAATGCAAATGAAAACCACAGTACAATAGTGCTCCACGGCTCCCCCAAGGACCAGGATAAAAGGCTGGCAGGAAGAAGCAGGGATGAGGATACGGAAATCAGGAAGTCTCGCGCTGCTGTCAGAGGCGGGTTGTGTTTGTGAGTGGTTCCGTCGCTGTGGAAGGCCATCCAACAGCTCTTCAGATGTTAGATCTACATGGACCAGGCTACCATGTGACTTAGTTGTGCCACCCCTGCGTACCTGCCCCAGAGGCATGGAAACATATTTGTATAAAAATTTGTATGTGAGGCCGGGCAGTGGTGGCGCACGCCTTTAATCCCAGCACTCGGGAGGCAGAGGCAGGCGGATCTCTGTGAGTTCGAGGCCAGCCTGGTCTATAAGAGCTAGTTCCAGGACAGGCTCCAAAGCTACAGAGAAACCCTGTCTCGAAAAAAACTAAAGAAAAAAAAATAATTGTATGTGAATATTTACAGTAACACTGTTTATAGTAACCAAAACATGGAAACAACTCGAAGACTCAGCTACTGATGAACATAGCTCAGCCATGAAAAGGAATGAAGTCCCGATACATGCCACAATGTGGATGAACCCCAAAGACATCATGCTAAGTGAAAGAAGACAGACTTAAAGACCACAAAGTATACAAATGAACTTACGTAAAATGTCCAGAATAGACACACCCATGGTCACAGGAAGTAGATTGCTGGTATTCCACATCTGAGGAAGAGGGGATGACAGGTGCTGCTCATTGGTCCAAGGTTTCTCTCAGGAGGAAATGCTGGGGTGGAAAGATACTGCCTGGGATGCTAAAGGCTCATTCCTGGTGCAGCCATATGCTAATTAGCCACGTGGCTCCTGGGCAACTCATTTTTCTTCTTCAGCTCTCATTTCCTCACCTATAAATAGATGAGTTCAGCTAAGATGCCATGATTGTCCTTTTCCGTTATAAAAGCGAAGTCAAGCCAGGAAAGTGGTCTCAAGGTCATAATGGGCCCCCAGATAGGGTAAGGAGTGTTCAGACGTTCTATGGCTGGATGCCTGATTGGCACAGGACATGAGGTCCAGGGGACATGTGCTGAGTGGTCCCAGAGTGAGAGGACCTAAGATGCCTGAGGAGAATTACAAGGTTGGCAGTGGGACTACTCCAAAGCTAGAGCCCATGGATGGGAAATGGGAAAGAGAAGCTAGCTGAAGTAAGAAGGCACAGTTTCTTTAAAGAGACCCAGTGCCAAGACTCACCAGACTGAAAGGGGCAGGGGCAGTTGTCCACTGTGCCTGCTTGCACTCCTCCCTTTTGGACTGGCTCAGGACCAAAGCAGCTTTGCCAAAATTCTGGGTACTCCGCCCCATTCCTCCTGCCATTCAGAGCCAGACTCGCTCCCTTCCTTTCTTCTCTTCTCCCTCCCTTTCCCCCTTTCTTAAGAATGACCCAAGACTTACTTCAGCTGCTCCGTTGTTTTGGGGTGCCACAGATCCACCACCCACAAGCAAGGCAAGTCATGACCCTGCCTGCATGGCGTTCACTTTCTCGTGGGAGTAATAGTGGTCAACAAATAAACAAAGCTCAGGAACACATCACAGGGCAAGGGGAGGGAGATGCAAGAGAGACATATCAGACAAGGCCATCATCAGTACCTTGTGTGGCTATCACTTTGGGTAAGAACCTGAGTGACATCAAAGAATAAACCATGTAGAGATTCAGGAATGTGACTTATAAGGACTCTGAAGGACTCAAAGCAGAAATGAACTTGGTCTCTTGAAGATGACAAAGGAGGTTAGGTGAGAGAAGGGGAGTCTGCAGAAAGATGGGGCTGGAATGGTGGCTAAAAGCCATGTCTTGGAGAACCTCTGGGGCATTGAAAACAGCTTGGGAAGTCCATGGAGGGCACTGAGGGTGGGGTATCTTGTTTATAACCCATCTGGTAGAGACCCTCTGAAAGCTTCTGGGTAGCAAATGATGCCATTGCTGACTGCACCTGTGTTAGACAAGGTGCATTGCTGAGTTCAGGGTTCAATAGTGCTTCCTTGGCACAGAAGCATCCCATAGCCGGGAGGTGGGACTCACTCTCAGATGGTTCCCATGGAGACCATAGATCCTCCCTCCATCTGGCTTGGCTTTGATATCTTGCTCTTCTCCCTCCAGAGGCAGGCCAAATATTCTGAGAACAAACTCAAGTGCACGAAGGCGCGCAATGACTACCTGCTGAATCTGGCAGCCACCAACGCAGCTATCAGCAAATACTACATCCACGATGTGTCTGATCTCATTGATGTGAGCATCCTGGGTTGCTGGGTGGGGCTCCATGCAGGCTGAAACATCTTGTGCACTAGGGGAAGATGTGTCTGATCTCATTGATGGGAGCAACCTGGGTTGCTGGGTAGGGCTCCATGCAGGCTGAAACATCTCGTGCACTAGGGGATGATGGGGCTCGCCATGGTCCTCAACTGGTGTGAGCTGACTAAGCTTTTGTAACCCTGCTAGAGGGGAAGGACTGAAAGTGTCTGTGGCTGGGGTACAAGCTAATTCATGATCATACCTTCCACAGATAGAAGTGAGTTCTGGTCCATCCCGCTCCCCCCGCTCCCCAGCTTGATTAGTCAGATTTCCAATACCAACTTCCAGTGCACCAGAGCCTCTGCGGAGTGTGAAGACATAGGAGGGAACTGTACACAGTTCACACCCTTAAAGGCTGCTGGTTTTAGAAGGAGAGGGGGCCATTCATTCAGATCCCCTGGGTCCAGTCAGCCAGGTGTACACCTTGGGAAAATCACTGGAGAGAGAGAGAATGGTACAGAAGCTCTTGGTATGGAAAATTCTCCTGGGAGGAATGAGTTTGATCACCGAAGAGCAGAACACTGAGTCTATGGGGAGCTGGCTGTGCAGGGCTCCCTGGGGAACACCAGGCTTAAAGAAGGATGTTGTGAGTGGCAGCAATGAGAGACTGTGTCATCTACATCAGAGCTGGGACTGTTTCACTTGTCCCCCCCCCTTCCCCCATGTTAGATGGGGGAGCCATTCATGTAGGTGCTCAGTAGAGGTTCGGTACTGGTTGCTGGATTCATCTTCTCCAACCCTGTATATCCTATTCTGGAAGTCAGGGCATGGGGAGAAGGGGGGGCATTCTGCTCAGCCTTCCTGTGGCATAAAGTCACCTCCCTCTTTCCTTGCTTTCAACTTTCCTTTTTAGCTTTTAGCCTTTTCATCTGTTCCCTTTCCAAATGTTTGCCGAGCGCCTGACTGTGCACTAGGACTTGAGTCTCAGCAGTGGGCAAGAGCCAGCAGGTCTATTGAGCACACCTTCCTCGGGCATGTCAGTAGGCAATTACAGCGGCAAGGGGGGGGGGGAGATGTGCAACTCTGCCCAAAACTCAGTATGGAGAACATCAAGGAAAACTTCCAGAAGGAAATGGCCTATAAACTAAATGGCTGGTGGAGAACATTCCAGACAGGGAGCATGCATGGAGAAAGCCCAGAGATGAGAGATTGTGGCGAGCCTGGGGAGCTAAAGGAACTCTGTTGGTACCCACATTTCAGTTCTCAGCTCCCCCTGAGGGATTTGATATGGTTTGTTCAGGACAAGCTATGGACTGAGAGGTGACCATGGGTCACCCACCCCAGCTCTCACCTGTACCTTTTGTCCTTGCCTTTCCCCAAGTGCTGTGATTTGGGCTTTCATGCCAGTCTGGCCCGCACCTTTCGGACCTACCTCTCAGCAGAATATAACCTGGAAACCTCTCGCCATGAGGGCCTGGACGTCATAGAGAATGCAGTGGACAACCTGGACTCCCGCAGTGACAAGCACACCGTCATGGACATGTGCAGCCAGGTCTTCTGCCCTCCGCTCAAGTTCGAGTTCCAGCCCCACATGGGGGATGAGGTAGGCTTCCTGCCAGAACTCTGCCTGGGTTCTCTATAAGTCTAGTTTCCAGTACTGTATGAAAGCTCCTAAGCCTGAATAACTTAGAAAGGATAGAGCAGTGGTTCTCAACCTGTGTGTGGGTCATGACCCCTTTGCTGAACATCTATCTCCAAAACTATTTACATTGTGATTCTTAACAGTAGCAAAATTACAGTTATGAAGTAGCATCAAGATAATTTTTTATGATTGGCGGGATCACCAACATGAAGAACTGTTTTAAGTTGCAGCATTAGGAGGGTTGAGCAGCGCTGGAATAGAAGCTTCTTCAGCTCCCAGGGAGGCAAGCTAGGGAATCCGAAAGCAGAGCGCCAGCATCTGCTCGCATCTCACGAGGGTCATCCTGTTGTATAGGGACATGATGTGGTTACCACCCGGCAAGGCAAAGCAAGCATGCAGCTCCAGTCTGCCTTTATTCCAGTTCTCATAAAGTCATTGGTGTCCTTATCCTTACCACCTCATCTAATCCTAATCATTTCTTGGCAGCCTCACCTCCAAACGCCATTTGTACATGACTTTGAGAGCAGGGCATAGGCCCTTAGCATCATAGTTACTAACTACTTCTGTTCTCGCCCATGCTCCTAGAGCATTGTGGGATGAGGAAAAAAGCCTCAAGTACATATGTGGTTTATTTACCACAGAGGCCTAGGGTCAGCTCTTAATTCATGAGCTTCTTCAGATGGTCTTCTTGTCTTGCTGGCTAATGTCACCATCTACAGAACTGTAGGGCCTTGGCTTTCCTTAGGCTCTCTCTTAGATGTGTTTAGGAGACCTCAAGGATGATCTAGTCTGCCTAGAAATAGTCTCCTATCTCCTTAGACCTTAGATGCCCTCATCTGATGCCCTACAGTACCATGAGCCTTTGACACATCAGACAATTGACTTTCCTTCCCTGCTTGTGCTGTCTAGACCCTTGCTGAGGTCTGGAGAGGAAAACAAGCAGAGTGTGCAGATGGCATGACACTGTCCACTCTCCCCATGTAGAAGACAACTCCCTGTCCACTCTCCCCATGTAGAAGACAACTCCCTGTCCGCTGTCCCCATGTAGAAGACAACTCCCTGTCTGCTGTCCCCATGTAGAAGACAACTCCCTGTCCACTGTCCGCATGCAGAAGATAACGCCCTGTCCACTCTCCCCATGTAGAAGATAACGCCCTGTCCACTCTCCCCATGTAGAAGATAACTCCCTGTCCACTGTCTCCATGTAGAAGACAACTCCCTATCTGCTGTCCCCATGTAGAAGACAACTCCCTGTCCGCTGTCCCATTTTCCCTCTAGGAGCTGGGAGGCAGGTGGGTGCAGAAGCACAGGAGGGAAGAACCAGCCAGTCTTGGAAGGCTAAGGGGAGCTCAGCTGGACCATGTGTAACATCTGCTTCTGGGGAGGGACAGGAGACAGCTTAGAAGATGACAACTGCACCCTCTATATGGCTTTGCCTGCTTCCTTCATTTGCACAAGAGAGGACTTCTACTAGGTGACACCACTCTTCCTGGGGCATCCCCCTGTTCCTTTCTGCCCTTTGGTCTGTCACCTGTAACTGAAGATTCTGGAACTAACTGTTTACTTTAAAGTTTGGCTACCTAGTTAGCAGTTAGCGGTGAGTAACTACTCACCAATTAGCTTTTTTATCCTACATGATCTTTTTTTTTTTTTTTTTTTTTTTTGGTTTTTCGAAACAGGGTTTCTCTATGGTTTTGGAGCCTGTCCTGGAACTAGCTCTTGTAGACCAGGCTGGTCTCGAACTCACAGAGATCCGCCTGCCTCTGCCTTCCAAGTGCTGGGATTAAAGGCATGCGCCACCATCGCCCGGCGATTATCCTACATGATCTTAGCTGTGTTCCTAGAAGGGGTGAGAACACACAGTGTGCCCGGTAGCCTAGCCCATAGGTGGTAACACCTTTGGAAGGGAAGACTCCAGAAGAATAGCTCAGCTGATCGTGGTATCTGTGGGTGACTGCTTCCAGGGGATGGGGGATGTCTGAGTCCAAGGGTAAGGAATACCTCATATAAAACAGCTGAGTGGTTACAAAGAACCTGGGCACAGCCTCCTGCAGACTTGAAATCTCCTTTGCATTGCTTAGCATATCTAACACTCTGCAAATGTTGTGCATTGTTGCTGTCCTGTACTGTTGGGGGGGGGGTGAGAAGAAGAAAATGCACGCCCACATTCAGTCCGGGTGTTTGCTTTTCTTCTTCCTATGTATTCTGTCCTTGTGGCCACGAAACTTGTGGATGCAGAAGACCAACAGTGTGAGCGTTCAAGTTGTCTCTCTATCTTTATGCATTCCTGTGGTGACAGGATCACTTGTCAACTGCTTCATTGTACTTGCTACTGGCTGTTCAAGCAGTTGCTTTCATTCCACAACTTTCTGACTTGCAATTAATTGGTTTGGCTTGCCAAGATTATGTTAAAGGTCTTTGTAAGCCCGCAATTACTGTGTGAATTTAGAAGGTTGTGACTGGGAAGCCACACTGGCCACAGCAAGAGGGTAGGCTCTGGATTAAGAGGACCCTAGTTCCAACCTGGTACTGCTTTGGCTGTGTCCAACATGGGTGACCTGGGGCAGTCACTCTGCCTTGCTGGATCTGTGTCCCGGGCTCCAGATGGAATGGTAATGATAACCTCCACACTGGCTCCATGCAGCTGCAATGACAGAATTTCTCTCTGCAGGTCTGCCAGGTCAGTGCACAGCAGCCCGTCCAGACAGAGCTGCTTATGCGGTACCATCAGCTGCAGTCCAGGCTGGCCACTCTCAAGATTGAGAACGAAGAGGTGAGTGAGCTGCTGCCCTGGGTCTAGTTCCCTGGACCTTGTGCTGGCCAGTCTCATGCCTTGGAATACATAGGAAACAATAGTCCGTTGGTGAGAGTCTACACAACCACACAGCATACCTGCACTGAAAGTCTTTAATGGCCCAAAGGCGCTTGCAAGATCTCAGATGAAAAGGAAACAGGAGGAAGTGGAGCTCTATGTTTAGAATGATTGCAGATTTACAGGCATAGAGAAAAGTCTGCAGGCAAAATGTTTTGAAATGACCCTTGGCTCCATCTTAGCTGTAGAATAACTGGTGGTTACTATTGACTTTGTGCTTTTCTGCCTCATTCTCTGAAATAAGCTTCTATTATTATCATCAGAAATCAGAGTAAGTATTTAAAATTAATCAATGAAATAGTTAGCTCAGGCTGCCCTAAATGTATCTTGAACTTTAAGCCATTTGGGTCCGTCTCACAGCCCAGTGTTCCCCCATATTGCTAGTGTGGCACAGCCTCACACTGGGTGGGTCCATCTTAACATGGACTGAAGAGACCAGGTAAACAGTGCCCTGTTAAGACCTAAACACCTCACCCAGAAAAGGAATGCCAGCCAACCCTAGCACCCTGGAGAAAAGACCTCAGAATTTGGGCAGTGCCACCCAAGGTTGCTTGACAAACTTATCCTCGAGAAGTAGTCATGGTGGAGGTGAGAAGGTATGGCCACTGTCTTCAGATGTCATGCAGGCTATCATGGACAGTAGAGACAGTTATGTCTGTCCTCTACAAAGGGCAGAGATAGAACAGAGCTAACACAAATCAAGGCAGGTCTAAGGAAGGTCACAAGAAGACAAACTGACTTGTTTTTTAAACCTGGCTCGAGAGATAGAAGGCTTACTTTCCTTCTGTTTATCTTCTGTCTCCCCCCCCCCCCCCAAAGGATTTTAAATGGTTCACATGTATAATGCCGTTAATGGAATTCAAATGGAAATCAGGGCCACAGGGAGGCGAACTAGGCACATAGCCTCTCTGTGGGCTGCGGATGGGCTTGGGTATGCTTATCCTTGAATCAGCTTCCGGCAATCTGTGTTGGAAAAAAGAACTGATTTTGATTTAGTCATTTATTTATTCGACAAGTGTTTATTTATGTAATATATATTCACACAATACATGCTAAACATTATTCTAGATAGAGAATAAATCAAAGGAACACAGCCTCATAGGTTTTCCTCTTTCTGATGAGAAAACACCAGAAATTAAAACATGAAGACCAATGAGTGACTAATGGAAAAACACTAGGCCAGGAATGGCACGTGCTAGGGGCCCTGTACCATTAGGAGGTGATATTTCAGCTGAGGAGAAGTAAGAGAGACTTGGAGTGACGATGATCTCATAATAAATGGAATCCGATTTTCTGCCAGTGATTCCTTTGGAACTGCCCTACCTCTGGAGTATAGAGCCCATCACTGAGACCCCACTCATCCGAGTGCTTCTGTGAGGTCCTCATGCCTAGCTTTTGCAGTCTCTGTGATGTGTGATTTCACTGGACCCAGAATGGAAACTGGAGTCCTAACTAGATCCTGTAGCAATGAGCTGACTTCCTCAAGGTCCTGTCTCCCAGCAGACCGCTGCCCACCACCAGATGCCCCCTTCCTCCCTAAACAAGAGGAGACACCAGAGCGTTTCTGCTGATTTCCATGTTCAAGTGACCCCTCCCCCCCTTAGAGGGCGCCTCCTTTAGGCTATCTAACCAGACCAGAGAAATAAGCCTAGGAACTTGACTCCATTATCCTCATGACAACCCCAAGGTCCCTTAGACAAAAGCAGTCCAATAACTGCCCTTAGATTGGACACTCTGGCTTCTTACCCTGCCAGCTATTTGGTCTTGGACCAATGACCAATCTGCCTCATTTGTCTAAGTCAGTATAAGAAAACCATCTTGTCTTGCCTTCCTTCTAGAGACATTAAGTAAAAGAACAAGGCCACTATCAGGTAAAGGACTTAGTGGTCATCAGAGGCATTATGAGAATAAACGTGTTTGTGCTGTTTTTCCCTAGGTTAGGAAAACCCTAGATGCCACCATGCAGACCTTACAGGATATGCTGACTGTGGAGGACTTCGACGTCTCTGATGCCTTCCAACACAGTCGATCTACAGAGTCCATCAAGTCAGCCGCTTCTGAGACCTACATGAGCAAAATCAACATCGCCAAACGGAGAGCCAACCAGCAGGAAACAGAAATGTTTTATTTCACGGTAAGTGACATCTGGGACCTGGAACTCACTGCTGATCCCCTGCCCGTGGCTTTGGAAGCAGCCTGAATGAATGAGAGAGGGCCAGTAAAATAATATGACATAAATCTCCTAACATGCATTTTAACATTAGGTTGCCTGGCTTGGTTTTCTGAAATGCAGAAAGTGGCTCACCAGTGGGTGGTATCAACTTTAATCTTGAGTGATGGTGACTAAAGCTTTTGGAAGGAACAAAAGAGAGTTTGATTCAGTTGGGTTAGAGCAGTGGTTCTCAACCTGTGGGTCATGACCCCTTTGGGGGTATCAGACAAAACGCTTTCACAGGGGTCTTCTGAGACCATCCTGCAGCTCAGATATTTACATTATGATTCATGACAGTAGCGAAATTACAGTTGTGAAGTAGCAATGGAAATAATGTTATGGTTGGGGGGAGTCACCACAACATAAGGAACTGGATTAAAGGGTCACAGCATTGGGAAGGCTGAGAACCGCTGGGTTAGAGGAGCATGGTGAAGGAGCCAAGTAACAACCTTGAGTTATGTGTATGCTATTGTCTTAAATTGGTGACTGAGCTTTGAAAACGAGGATCCCATTTCAAGAAAGTTATTCATGAGCTGCTAGTCCCTCCTGTGAAATTCCAAGTTACAGGCCTTCATTTTTGCCAGGGGCCCAGAGGATAGTGGGGAAGGAGAATTGAGGCTTTAGTTTAAATTCGGCTTATTGAACATGGAGATTGGGGCTACAAAGTGACTCACTTCTGGTGCACATCCCACCAAAATCTCACAGGGACTCTGCTCAGATGCCCAGAATAAAAAATTCTTGTTTACTCAAATACTTCTCCTGCTTGAGTTGCGGTTAGCATCAGATATGAAGCTTTCCTTGTTATCTTTGGAAAAATTTACCACCCTAGGATTCCTAGCCATTGGTCTTTATGCTGTTTTCTTTGGTGGAAACACCACAGTAAAGCTGATGCTACTTAACAGCCTTTTCCGAGCTGTAGGAAGCTCGGTTTCCTTCCTCCAGGCTGAGTGCCCTGATTCTTCTAGTCGTACCTTATAAGCTTGGGTTCTGAGTAGCCTCAGTACCCGAGCAGCTCCTGAATACTTTCTCTTCAAATGTCTACAGTAAAATTCACTGAAGACATACACCAACACACCAGGACCTTGTTATTTCATTTTTAAAATAAAACTTAAAAGAGTTGTGTCAGCTGACTCTTCTCTGCATGAAGCCAGGTCTCCCTCCTCTTAAAGGCCCCATAGGTAAAGACTTAGGTAGGTCTTTACTGAGATGTCCTCTTGATGGGTTCACATCACAGGTCCAGATTTTCAGCATCCTAATCTAATCCCTTACCCCGAAGCTTTTTTCAGATCTTGTATGACACACAGATTCAGGGAGCATGGCCTTCATTACCTTCAAGTTTGCTAATAAGAAAATGTCATGGCTGAGCCAGGCTACTGCCAAGGCTCATAATCAGGTCACTAGAGGCACACAGCTAGGCTGATGTTGACCGGATTATGCAAATAGAATCTGTCACAAATTATCCCAATCCTAGCATCCAGCTCTATAATTGGTAAGCCTTAATCAACACCCTGCCACAATCCAATAGCTGATTGTACATACTTCATTTCTTCCATCAGTAGTCTTTGACCTCATCAAGGAAGAAAACAAAACTAGTCCTCATGATTCCTGGCACCTACTGCTTCTGTTAGAGGCCTACTGTGTTGACAAAGAGAAGTTATCATCTCTAGGGAGCAGGGAGTGCATGTGGAGATAAACAGAAAGTCACTTTAGCAGTAGAACAAAGTCTGGAAGTGGAAGCAGGGGAAGGGGCTCAGCCTGCTTATAGTTAAAGAAATCTAGTGTCTTTGACCAAGGATCAGAAGATGTTTTGTTTTTGCTTTTGTTTGTGTATCTTTATATGCTTTATATACATATTAATGTGTGTGTGTGTGTGTGTGTGTGTGTGTGTGTGTGTGTGTGTGTGTGTGTGTTTCTGGAGGACAGAACACAATTTGAGGCACGATCAACCTTTCATATATGTACACCTCACCTGTGGCTTTTGTTAATCCTTAGACATGTGATGAAATCAGAGGATGGTATTGTTAGAAGTCAGAACTTACTGACTGAAGCAAAGGCATGCGTTGCCCAGAGTCAGGGCACTCAGTTAAAAACCAAGTGCTTCCTCAGCAGGGCTTTGAAACTTGGAAGCTTGAAGGCCTCTGTGATTCCTCCCCAAGTGAGAAATAAGGGTTAGAATCTGGGTATCAGGAAGCAGAGATTTGCATGTTAACAGTCTTCCAACTGGTGATGCGGCTGCTGTTCCTCTGCTCCACGTTTGGAGGGACATCCTGAGTCTACTCTCAACTTACCTCGAGGAGCTAATGGGGGTCTAGAAACTGGCAGGGCTCTACTCCACATTGGACAACAGGGAGCCCAACTCTGGGCTTCTGTTTCCTTAGAATAAGTACAACCAAGTTTTCTCCATTGGTCCTCCAAGATCATAGAGAGACTCTTCTCTCCCCTAACCCCTCTCTTTCTGGTACTTGGGGCAAAGCATTTTCTGTGCACCCTTTTTTATTTCATTCGCCCAGAAAGTCATGTCCCCCTGTGAAGCGATAAGCCTTCTGATTCAAGGTTTCTCAGTGGCCTGCATAGCCCTTCCTCATTTGGAAGAAAGGGTCGTCTTTAGCTCTGTTCCCATAGCTCTTAGCCTCAGCTGCAGGGCCTCCATATGGCTCTCTTCCTTATGGCTCTGCTTCTGTGACCTAAGGGGCCCTTCGTCTTGTGCTGCCCACAGTCATCACAGTAGAAGCAGCCTCCACTGTGGCCATACTCTCCTGCCACTTATGCACCCAACCCAACCTACATGGCCCAGGAACCCCCAAGAATTAGACATTTGGAATAGCTCAAAGCAGATACAAAGTCCTACCTGTCCCTATATCAGGTCCTGGATAGCCTGACATCTGTTTGGTTTCCCTGCTGGGATGATGATGGGGGAGGTTAGAGTTAGAGACCCTGTCATCACTTGGTTGTGTGACCTTTAACTTCCTTATGCCTGTGTGTTTTACAGAAATTTAAAGAATATGTGAATGGCAGTAACCTTATCACCAAGCTGCAAGCCAAGCATGACTTACTCAAGCAGACACTGGGTGAAGGTAAGTTGGATGGGAGAGAGGCCAAGGGGGACGGCCGTATAGCCAGAGTCACTGAGCCACTTCAGGTCAAGACACCTAGTGCTGGCCAGGGGCGTACCTGATGCTGAACCCTTGTGTAGCTAGGCAGGGAAAACCTCGCTGGTTCAGGGGCTGGGAGGGGGGTCCTATGTGTCTGCATAGGGGCAAGACCAAGTGGTGGATATGCTATAAGTAGGAGGTGGGGATCCAAGGACACAGGTAATCAGCACATACCAGAGGAACTATGGGAGGGCCTCACCAAGGTTCTAGGTCCATGGACGAAAAATACATACATGATAGGGTTTAGTGATGTTTGTTGTTGTTGGGGGCCAAGTATAGCGGCGTAAAATGCAGACAGATTGTTAAAAATATATACAGCTTTAATGTAGAAATAGACTTACAGTACCACGGCTCCTGCAGAGAACAGGAAGCAGAAGGGACGGCTGGGTGCATGCCTGGCAGATTTATAGGTAAACATTAGCCTGAGGCAAACACGCCCCCAATGGGCTGGACTTGGACTTATCCCTACAGTTTAGTCCTCAGGAGACCAGCAAACTAGGCTTGAAGTCACCCAGGATCTCCCAATGGCACTAGAGTAAAACCCCAGCTACCAAGAGCACACAAGGCCCACTGCCTGCTTCCCTGACCCTGCCCAACATCCTCCCTCCCCTTAATGTCCTCCTGCCAGGCTAGGCACATTTGTGCCTTCTAAAATTTCCAGCTTGTTCCTGCTGTCTTTGAGTCTCCTTGTGGAAACACCACCCAGCTTGGTATATAAAACATTTCCATTAGCCTCAGGAATGTCCTTATGTCTCTTTGTAGTCAGTCCTTCCATTCTCTGCTCCAAGCCAATCACTGATCTGATTCCTTCACACACACACACACACACACACACACACACACACACACACCCTCATTCTCACCCCCATATCTGCCTTCTCTTTGCTTTTCTATATATATGGTTCTTCCTATATAGGCCAGCATTACTTTAACTTTGTAATCCTCCTGCCTCAGGCCTGCAAAGTTCTAGGATTGCAGATGTAGAGGAGTTAGCTACATTGAGCTTTTCCTTTATCTGTTCTGCTCATCCTGACATCTCAGTATTGGGCCAATGTTGAAAGGGGGGAGGGGCGGCCCATGTGATTTGGTGGCTACTAGTGTTTTGAAATGAGATTTCCTAGGTTTAGAACCCAGGTACTTTTTTAAAAACCCAAGGTCCCGGTTGGATTCTTGATCTGTGGTGTAGAGAGGTTTCTCTTCCCTATTTCCTTATTAGTGCTAACCCATTACTACCCTTGTCTGCATGGCCTTAATTCAATCATAACATTTTGACTGACCTGGCTCCTGGTCCATTTGTTCTTCCAGGTTTTGTCAACCATGCCTCACTCTGAGATGCAAACTCTGATGTCTGCTTTCTGAGTTTTGAGCTGGTTGGCAAGAATGTCTCTAGGAAAACATTGCTTGAGAGATGGAGGAATGGCTAAGAGGCACCTAAGAAGTCCCTCTGGGTGTTTCCTAGCAAGCCAGACATAGAGCAGCCCAGTGTGCTTCCATTGACAGTGGGGAAAGATCTTGGTAGACCGGTCAGTTCTAGCCAAGACTGTCTTCTTCTAAATGAGTGTTTTGTTTAGAATGGGTTTTAATTTACAGGAAAGTTGAAAAATTGTAGAATTCTCATATGGTCATCCTCAACTCTCCTTTATTCACATCTTATATTAGTATGGTATGCCACAGTTAGTGACTATACATTACTTTGTTCTTTTGAGACAGGGTCTTATGTAGCCCAGGCTGGCCTCAAACTTGATATGTAGCCTTGAATTCAAGGATAGTCCTGAATTCTTGATCCAGTTCTAGGAACTACAAGCATGTGCCACCATGCTTGTCTTTGATACACTTTTACAAAGTAAAGTTAATAAAGCACCGAATTACTCAAAACAGAGAAACCCGAGTAAGTTTACATCAAATCGCTGGTCATTTTACATATCTGTGATCTAACAAAGGTATGTTGTGGATTCTTAGGGCATTGAGTGACACAGCCAGGAGAATTTGAGCTGAGCAGGGCCAGCCGGAGCTCAGAACTTCATCAAATCCATTCTTCTGAATTTTTGTTTAGGTGGAGACAGGATCTCACTATGTAGCTCTGGATAGCCAGGAGCTTGCTGCATAGACCAGGCTGGCCTTGAACTCACAGAGATCCCCCTGCCTCTGCCTCCCTAATGCTGGGATCAAAGGTGTGTACCGCCATGCCAGGCCTCTTCTAAATTTTAATGCTGGAGTCGCCTTACCCCTATCTGAGCAGTTTGAGTCTTTACTCAGTAGATTATCATCTATGTGTAGGCTTAGTGTGTGTTTATGCCACTTCACTGGTCCTCTCCTGTCAGCAGAGAGCTATTTCAGGTTGAGAGGGATGAGGTGGAAATGTTAAAAACAAATGAGAAATATAGTCCCCAGGGAATATGCAAAAGGATTCAAGCTGGGTTTTTTGTTGGTTGGTTTGTTGGTTTTTTTCCTTTGGTTGGATTTTTTGTTTTGTTTTGTTTTTATGATGTCGTGTGCCTCTGTTTCTCCAAAGCATCCCTTTGACAGTGTGAACCAGGAGGGCAATTCAGTGAATATTGAATATGCCTGCATTTATTTTCCATTTTCCATATGCTTATATACTCCAATCCAAAAAGGGGGGAAGAAGGCAAAAGACTACTTCAACATGACACAAAAAACAAACAGAGCAAATAAATACTTGCATCAATGCTTGAAACATCAAGCCACTATATCCTGAGTTCTGTTGTTTATGCAGGGCATGCAGCGATTATACCTTAGACTTGCGTCCTGTAGGCAGCCGTTCCCTGGATCAAACCTCCTGTCATAGCCTTGAAAAAGCAGGAATAGGCTTGAATTCTCTGACCTTTGGTCAGGGTGGAATGGATCCAGTTCTGTGGATCATCTCAATATCCAAAACACCAAGTAACCACATCTTAGATCAAGATATCTTATTTGTAGCCACACCTTAAGTCAGACCTCTTGTCAATAACTTTGAAAGAGCCAGGTAGGCTTAAACTCTCTGACCTTCAGTCAAGGTGGAGCAGACACACTTCTGTGGGCCCCTACATATTCGGTCAAGGTGGAACAGATGCACTTCTGTGGACTCCCACAGCAGCAGACCCCAGACACATGAGCAAACGAAACAGCTTTGCCTGTTTTACCTTAATTCTCATCTGCCCTTCATGGGTCTTTCACTGCATTTCAACCCTCTGCAGTTAGTTTGGGGCCTAGTGAATCTGCTCAGTTTCAGCGGCTTCCTGAACCTACTCTGTTTGCCCTCCTACTTAAGGCGCTTCCATACAGGAAACAATCCTTCAAACTTTAAGGAACCTCTTACACAAAAGGTAGTTATTGACAAGTAGGTAAGGAAACTGCGGTCTGGAATATTATTCAGCCATAAAAAAATAAACGAACTTCTGAATCATGATCTATGGATGAACCACAGACAGATTATGGTAAGATAAAGAAGTCAGATTCAAGAGAGAAACCAAGGAGAGTGATTTTCTTTCTAGGAAATGCCTATCAATCCTGCAAAGACAGAGAAATCAGCAGTTGCCTGGGGCAGGAGGCAGGAGGCTGGATAAAGAACAACTGTAGGATGGGCACATGAAATCTTTCTGATATTGTCGTCATTTAAAGGGGAAACAAAGTTCTCTGGCTAAAACAACCAAAGCCAATTGAACACCAACATGCACTTTTGTTTTCTTTCCCCAGGGGAGAGAGCAGAGTGCGGCACAACCAGGTGAGAGTTGGGGAATCTTGTCTCCTTGTATTGGCTGCTTGGAGTCTGAGAGGATGCAGTGGGTGGGTAGAGGTGTAAAGTGAACGTAGCCTCTTGGGAGCTAGGAAGCTGGATAGTTTTTACCACCTCTGGGCTGGTGGGGTAGCGGGGGAGGGTTCCCTGGCTACTGAGGCAACATTGCTTGTTTTCTCTTTAGACTGGCAAAGGCCGGCCACAAGGAGGGTGCTTGCATAGCTGCTTTGGGGCAGTGGGGACATGCCCCTGTTCGGTGAGAGGGTAGTTGATTCCAGGGTATCTAAAGTCACTAGCAGGAGCCACAGGCTGTAGGGCAGCTGTTTTCTTCACTTGGATCTGTTACATGGCCACTGCCCAAACTGCCCTATGGGTCATCCAGGGCCACCCTGGATCCTCAGTTGCTAAGGCTTTGGGGTTGGCTGGTTTTGTGCACAGATGGTTGGTCACGCGCATGCTGCATACACATGGACGTGTGCCCAGATTACGCCCTCCCTCCCTGCACTGCCCATCATATTTGGCTTGAAATTTAGTGGGAATTTGGATGGGCTGGTGAGGCCAGTCACATAGGCAACTCACGCTTCCCTCTGCAACTCCCTATGTGCTGAGCACATCAGAGCCAGTGAACACTCACCCAGCAGCTTTCAGCCTTTCCTAGGCTTCAGATGCCTCAGCAGCCAGCACTGCCCTGGTGTCTGAGTTTTCACCATGAACTAGCAGTGGCCCAGGGGTCTGCCGTTTATCATCTGTGGCTAATTTTTAATTGGGAGCTACTTCTTCCCTCAGTCAATGGGGCTCAGTCACCCAATGACATTCTTTCCTTCCAAACAAATTCTCCCCGATGGCTCAGAATCCTGAAAAGCTGTCCTACTTGGCAAGAGCAAAGATGACCCTTCAACTCTCCCCTGCTCCTGGGGAAGCACGAAGGCGTGGCCAAGGCTTGAGAAGCTGTGGAGGTTTAGGGCTTTCCAGGAATCCAGCTGTTCCTCTGGGCCCAGGCAGTTTGGGAACACTGAGATGATTCACAGACAAGGACCTTCCCACATGTGGAACAGCAGATGTGCAGGTCACTTTTGAGGAACCCAAATTTGTTACTATTTTTTTTTTTCGGATAAGAGATTCTCTAAGAGGACAAAAGCTCTGTTTTATACCAAAGTGGGAAGAATTGGGCCATGGCTCACTGCCTCCTGATCTCCAAGATGCAGGGAGAAGGAGACTGCTCCAGAGGATGGTGGGGGGAGGAGCCACGATAGATCTCTTGTCCAGGTCTCAGGTTCACCCCTCATATATATATATATATATATATATATATATATATATATATATATATATATATATATACACACATACACACACATACATATATATATATATATATATATATATATATATATATATATATGAAATATTGTCTTCCTCACCTGTTTTGACCTAGGGCCTGGGAAATCCAAGTTCAGGTTGGATCTCCACTTAGGCATCTTGTCCTAAATTGCAGACCTAGCCAGATACTTTCTGGCTCATTATTAAACTTGTGGACCTCGTTGTCCATCTGAAAGCATTTTTAAGTCTCAGAGGCCCTTGGCAATGTCTCCGCACCTTGGCTGTGCTGACTGTAGATTCTCACACACAGTCAAAGTCATCTGGGACCATCATCAGATAGGGTCTCTCAGCCAAGTTCCTCTTGCCCTCGTCCAAATGGCCCTTTTCTCACACTTATGAGCCATAGTTTTGAATGGCCTCAGAACATCCTAGCCCTGGGATTTAGGCTGACCAGATGTGCTAATGTATTTTGAAGAATTGCTAAAAAATGACCAAGTACGGGATGTAAACATCAGTTGTTAATCATGTTTTGAAGAGAGGTTGGCCTCCGTCACCAGGTTGACAAGAGGCACTAGTCCTGAGTAGAGGGAACTAGTTGATAGCATCACCATCAGATACAACCCAGCCCCTGTTTTCCAACCATAGCGCCCAAGAGCTTACCCGCCCTCGAACATCAGTGTTGCCACCGGTTTAGATGCTGATACCCACATCTGTTGGGTGTTTAGGGAAATTCTCAATCACTTGCTCTTTGTCACAGACTAATTCTGAGGCCACGCCTATGTTGCCAGCATGTGCTAGTTTTATTCCTGCTGAGAGGCTGAAAGGGGACATTGGTCTCTGGTTTCCTCGCCCTCCCCTCTGTGGCTGTCTCTGTTCCTGTCTTCCCTGCTTTTCTCTTTCTTCCTTTTGTTTTTGCTCTGCATCTGAGCGGCAGAAGAGATGGAAGGCTTAGGCTGCCCCACTTTCCTTGGCTGAGCTGTCCCCCTGCTCCCCACTTTGTGCCCCACCCAGCATTCCTGTAAGTTGACACAGATTTGATGTTGTTCAAAGTTGGGATAGCTATGTTTCCTTGTCAGAGATTCCAGGCAATGCCCAGTGCACCGTGGTGGGGGAGGGGGGAACGACAAGGACGATCATTGTGACTTCATTTTCTTTTACACCCTGGGTTTGGCAGAGAAAACAGGGAAGCATACTCTACATTTATCTCCTTTTATTCTACTCCATAAAAAAATTAAAAGAACAAAACCCAGAAACTCTTATGAGTTTTTTAATGGAAACCCTCCAACTGGGTGCCCTGGAGCTTTTGATTCTGTATTTTAGTACCTGTTCCAAGATCCCCACTCTTGCCAGCCTTGAGAACTTAATAGACAGTTGGCAAAATCACTCTCTCAACTTCATACTTGTTCTGGAGCCTCTAGTAGGAAGAACTACATTCAACTCCCAGTTCTTGAAGGATCCCATTTGTGTGGCCTTGGGCAAATTTCTTAATCTCTTGTGGGCTCCTTTGCCTCCCAGGCTCCTGCAATGTGAGATAAAGAAGTGGCCCTGGAGTCCAAAATACTACGAAAACAAACGACAACATTGCTGTCCTCCTTCCTAATCCCTAAGTTTGGATCCTATAGTTTAGTGTCACATTTTTTGATGATCATTTCTTTCGACTTTTACATTTGAAAACTCAAAAACAGACCCACTGTGTGAGATCCCCCCTCCCTGATTTCATGCATCCTCAAAAAAAAAAAAAGATGTAATATACTTTGAAAGGAAATGACATGGACTTAGCTAACCGCACAGATCCAAGATGGGCTGGAGATACTCTTGCCTGTTGTTTCTCTTCAAATTTTTGGTTGTGTTGTTCTTTTGGTTCCCTTGATTGGGTGGCATGCTATTTGGACTTAACTGTGTCTTTGCCCATGCATGTCCTGGAGTTTGCAGCCTTGCTCAACACTTAACCATCTAGGAGGACTTGGCTAGAGTGTCCTGCGTGGCTGGACTGCTAAGGGTCATGAGACCAATAAACCCACGAGAGAGAGGCAGGGCAACCCTCATTCATCTTGATTGGTTCTACAGTCCATATGATTCTTGCCTGTGGCCTGGGCATGTACCTTAGTTGATAGGATCCTTGCTTAACATGCATGAGGCCCTGACTTCAATTGCTAGCATCATATAAAACCCAGCGTGGAGGTGCATGCCTGTAATCCCAGCACTGAGGCAGGAGGATGAGGAGTGTGAGGTCATACTTGGCTACATAGCAAGTTTGAAGCCACCCTGGACTATATGAGACGCTGTTTTGGAAACAAACAAAAACAGATAGAAGATTCTTGCCCATGTACAGAAATCAGTCAAGACATAGGGAAAGGGCAAGACTTTGCTTCTCATACATGACCATTATCTGCCTGGCTGAGTATGTACTTATTGCTTCCAAAGTTTGGACCAAACCATTTGAAAATGAACTGCCTCGTTTGGTAAGGGGACTTCCTCCTAACTTTCTAAGAACTTTTTCCCTGAAGGCCAGCAGCACTGAATCAGGCCAGTTTTATGTAGTGAAATGAGCAAACAAGCCAACCCAGGTCTATGCATGGCGAGCAACTATGGACACGGGTCTAGCACCTGTGGCCATTTCATTGTTCCTGGTGGATTGTGGTATAAGGTTTCCCCTCCCTGTGGATAACACCAGAACACAGGGAACGGAGATCTGAAAGCAAAGCAAGACACTTTCAACCTGATCCCTCTGGCAAGGACTGACGAGGCAGATGAGTCTACAGTTAGAAATGACAAGATGTCCCAGGGCCGCGCCCATGACTTGAAATTAAAAGAAACAAGACAAAACAAAACACTCTTCCCCACAAACAACCACAACAGCAAAAACCCTGGGCTTGGGGGGGGGGGCTTGGGGGGGAGGAGGCTAGAGGTGGATGTGATGCTCTCTCTAGGCCTGATTTCTATAGAATAGAACCGTGTGGAATGGGAAGATATTGGGGTAAGTGTGATCATGGATTTGACAGTGCTCCAATCAAAAATGTACTCGATTGATGAGTGGGATAATAACATCCCAGGCCACCTACGGATCCTAAAGAAGCTGCAGCTTGCCTCCTGGCATCTAGCTGTCTGGCTCTCAGATCTATGCAATAAACATGAGTCATATTCCTTTGAAATGTCAAGAGACATTAGGAAGACAGTGCCCCCAGTACATTGGGAGTTGGGCCTTGGTGATAGATTTAAGCTGAAATTACAAAAATAAACCTTCTCGGTTATGTTCGAAAGTTTCTTGCTTTCCTGGGCTACAGATGACACCTCCCTCCCCTGACCCACCTCCATCTGGTCTGCAGGATGCCAGCCTCTGATTGGCATTGCAGGCGCTTCTTGGATTTATCCCATCCCCTGTGATGTAGAATGCGTTTGTGTTTTGTGAGAGTTGCTCCTGTTTGGTATTGTGGGTAAACTAAGACCTGAAACATCCAGAGGCCCTTCAGATGGAACTTGGGAAACCAGTGTGTTGGAGGCCAGAGGCTCCCTTCTGTGTTTTGTGTTTTCCTCCCATTGTGGTTGGAAGAGCATCTCCCCCAGTGGTATGTTTATGTTGGTTGCTTTCTTGATTTCTTTTGTTCCATTTTCCCCTAGGCCCCCCTGCCTTCCCCCTAAACCACAGAAAATGAGGAGACCTAGGCCTCTTTCAGTGTATAGCCATAAGCTCTTTAACGGCAGTATGGAAGCGTTCATTAAGGTACTTGCTGGGGAGCCATGGAGTCCGCGAATGAGTCCAACGTAATGGCAGCCTCTCTTCTCCCTATCCCCTCCAGCTAACAGCCCTGTCGACCCCTTAGCCAGGCCCCATGGAGCTAGCTTCTCACTGCAGTCTGTTCTTGGCTTCAGTGCGGCATTCCACTGGAGAATTATGCTTCTGACCAGTGGCCCCTAAGTGGCCATCCATCGTTCTCGGAAGCATGGGGGAGGGGTCCGATCATTTCAGCACAGAAGAGGTGGACCGTCAGTCAGCACAGTGGTCCCAGCCAGCTGGCCTCATTGCTGCCAAAGCTGCAGCCCTAACACCCGAAGGGCAGTTGAGGAAACTCTATCACTCAGCTCTACCCCACAACAGGAGACCAATGGAGAACAACACAAAGACAGCTCCTGTGGGTCTCCATACAAGGCAGCTACAGTTTGGTAGCTGAGTCTCTGCTAGCATGGGAAGCCATTGAGTTTTCATAAGAAGAGTTCCTTTCACTTAATTTAGCTTTGGATGGTTGATTTGAAAGGAGAGAGTAGAGTTGAGGTAGGCCTTCTAAATGTCAGGTTAACCCTGGACATTGAGCTTAGGCTCAATATTTAAATCTTTCAGCTTAAGTGGGTTTATTTTTTTTTCTGTCTTCACCCCCCCCCCAGTGTCATTCAGGATCAAACTGAATAAGGCAAAGATGGTGTTAGAGTCAAGATGTGTTCTTGGAGAAAGAGGAGGGGAGGCCTTCTCCAGTTGTTTGAAAGCCCCCCCGCCCCCAGCCAGTGAAGACAATTTCTACAGAAAAAAAGGGCTGGTGTAGGTCAGGGGAAGGGTGGAGTCTCGCGGCATCAGTGATGATTTGGGAGTTATAGAGGCTGCCCCATGCACCAGCTCTCTGTCCTCTGTTCTCTGGCAGGGTGCAGTTAGACCTGGAGGGCAGAGAAGGCCTACAGACACGCAGATGTCAGCCTCAGGGATGGATTGGGGAGGCAGGACCATCCTAGATCAAAGGATTCTCTCTGCCTGTAGACTTGAGTCCTCAGAATAGAAGAGAAAGAGAAGAGGGATTTCCCCTGGGACAGTTGGGGGATGCCTTAGGATGCCTCGTAGGACTGAAGGCCCCAAATTAGAGGTCCCTCGGGAACTGTGTGACAATAGAGAGCCACTCAGTGGGTTGTGGCAAGTGAGGCTGTGTCAGAATGATGCTCTGTTTCCTCATCACCTCTCTGTCTTCTCCTTTCCCTCTCATGCCCCCTTGCTCCTGGCTGAGCCATTCTCCAGGCTGCAAAGGAGCTGGCTGATCATTTCCTGTCTTTACAGAGCCTAGCAAGGGGCCAAGAGTGCAGGGGGAGGCACGTGAGAAGTCCCGCAGGAACATGCTATTGCAATTGAGTCCTGCAGGAACATGCTATTGCAATTCAGAGCAAGAAGAGCTGTGAGCTGGGACCCAGGTGACATTGCCAGGGTTTTGAAAGGATGAGGAGGAATAAGAGGAGCAGGACAGGAGTCCCCGAGGAGGGAACGATGCAGTGAGATCTGACATGGGGACTTCGTCCCCGAGTCTCTCTGATCTCTGGAAATAGGAGATCAGTCTGTATACATGGAAGGAGCTGACTCTTACTTGACACTGTTTGAAGATCACATCTTTAGTGGAACTGAGTATCTTCGTAGTGGGATTAGAAAGCAACTTGACCATGCACCCGACCAACACTTTAGACCTTCTTCGACTCCATGAGTGTTTGTTTGCCCCTCAGGTGGTTACTTTGGGAAGCCATCTTACTATCCTACTACATCACCATGCCCAGCAGTGTTTGGCTAATCTTCTTTAGAGCCTGTTACACAATCTTTATCACTGGTGCCAAAACTTCCTGCTAGCATGGATACTTGGGTCCACCAGAATTAAAACCTCCACACCACAAGGCTGCGGGGATAGTGTAATTACAAGGCATGTCATGCAAGCATGAGGACCCGGGTATAGTCTCCACAACCTGTGTTAAAACGCTGGGAATGGTTGCACACACTTGGAATCCTAGTACTAAGGAATCCGGTGGATACCAGTGGCTCCCTGGCTAGCCAGCCTAACCTAATTGAAGAGCCCAAAATCAAGGTGGCTGGTGCCTGAGGAATGACACATGAGGTTGACCTTTGACCACATGCACATGCTAACACACACACACACGAACATAAATACCCTCCTACCACCATCACTATGGCACGCACATGCTTCAGTTGAAGCATAGCTTTGTGGCATCATTGAAGGGATGAAATGGCAAAAGGAAGTGTGGTACAGTGATACTGGTCAACTGGCTCTGAGGAAAATCTCCAAAGAGGGATGAGCCAGCTCTGTGGGAGGGAATGGCAGAATACTTGGAAGAACGATAGCCATTTGACTAGGGAAGAGAAGGTGGTTGGTGGAACACAAGAGCGTGTCTTTATACTCCCTCTGCACTTAGGCTGCCTCCAATCAGTGAGGACTTCAGCTGTGGACCTACTATGAGCAAACTTGCCAAAGCTCCATATGACACAGACTTACTCTAAAGAATCCCGGAGTCCAGAGAGTGAAGGGCAGCATCTGCAGCCACTCCTTCAACTGCCGAGAGTAGAATTTCAGCTTCTATCCTAATTCTCTCACTGTCTGAATGTACAGCGGAGTCCTCGGCTTTGACAATCCAGGCCTATAAGAGGAGTTTTGATCAAATAATCCCACTGTGATGCTGCGATTATGACACCTAGGCAGGACAAAGAGAGAAGCCCCACATCAATTATAGAGAAGTATTTGTGGAGTTAGACTTTTGAACTTCCTGGCTCTTCCTGAGCCAGCCCCTTATAAAAATCAAAAACTGTTTTTTTCCTCTCAGACTTATATAGTATAGTCCGTGGTAAAGCCCGAAGGTCCACTGTGGGGGTGGGGGAGGGTTCCCATTCTTGCCCTGCGAAATGTGAGTAATCACCCTGGGGATTTAGGAGAGCACAGAGTGAGCTGATGCATGCATGTTTCTAGATCACGCCTGGCACTGTTTAAGCCTGCTCTATTATTAATTTTAGGACACCATCTCACGAGTCCCTTTGGACCAGGCTGTTACTGGGTTCAGGGTTTAGCTGACATCAGAGCAACTCAGATCCCAGTTGTTGAGATGGCAGGACTGGGCATACTGTGCCCCAGGAAGGCATGTGTCCATTAGCCAGCTTGGTTTCTTCACTGAGCTTGTGTGAGACTCAGCTCCCACCTAGACCCTTGAGTCACTGTCCATGTGACCAGAAAAGTCGGGCAGGCTCTCTCAACATGGGGACAAAGGCTTCAATGCACCCTCAAAGTCACTAAGGTGTTCCAACTTACTCTCTCCCTCATCTCCACTCTTACCAGCTTCTGTGTTCCTAGAGGGTTTCGGTGCCAGGGTGACAGTAAGGGGTTTAGAAAGAGGAGCAGAGCCACGCTTCCACTCAGAGAAGGTTATCAGGGTATTGGGTATGTTTGGAGTCTGGAATCTGATGCACCCTGCTGCATCCTGTCTAAGGAGATCTTATGAAGTAGAACATCTATCCAAGAATTGAGGATTCCAGAGATGAATTCTAGGAGCCAGCTTACAAAAGACATGAAAGATCCCTTCTGTGGGCAAACGGGCTAACCTTATAGGTCTTCAGTGAACTCTCGCTCATTGATGAATCCCTTGTGTTGAGGAGAAAACAGACGTGGATCTGGGAACAAGGTTGACACACATTCCTTACATATTGACAAGGAATCGCTGCTATCTGAGAAAGAGGCTGGGCAGCCTATTGGAAGGCTGGCTGGGGACTGCTTCAGAAGTCCTAGGAGGCTCCAAGGCTGAGGTTTCTCCCCGTGGGCAGGTTGATGGACAAATGCACCAGGACCATTGCTGGCTGCCATTGCGTTTTGGCATTCACGGACTCTGAAGGATCTGCATACTCTAACTGATCTTACTCCTGCATAATCTTTTCTTTTTCTCCTGCTTTGCTGCCTGTTTCTTTTTTTTGTTATCAGAGGAAGAAGAAATGCTCGAACCAGGAACCAGGTATTTACTAGCTAGGCCCATGAGCCCCATGCAAATAGTAGGTCCAAAGCCTTCTAGAGAAGATCCACATTCCCCGTTGCTTGATGGGCCTGTCTCCTATCCTCTCCCCAGATGCAGCATCAGCAGGTGGGGGGTGTGGCAGAGCCAAGAGCCCACCAAGTTACTAGCCTTCTGGGGAGGCTCATGATCTAATATGGCCCTTTTAAAAGAAAGTTTTGTTTTGTTTTTTAAATGATACTCATGATGTGACCTAACATCATGATGTAAAGTAGCACAGTCCACCCAGTTTTGGGACTCTGAAAAAAAACCTGACTCTTACCCAACCCCTAGGAACTGTAAACTAATCTAGAAAGGTGTGATTGAATGTCCTTTCACATTCTATGCATAACTATTTAAATTGCATCCCATTGAGTCTTTTCAATTGAAGTTGGCCATCAGATGGCCAATGTCTGATATTAGCATCCACTAGAACTTCTCCACATACTATGCTTACTGTTAAGCAAAATACCTGGATAGTTGAGACATTATGACTAAGATTCACCTTCCCTTCTTTGAGCCTCCCAGGGCTTGTAAGGGACCAGGCTTCCTCACCCAAAATGTGTTCTCAGTTCTGACGCGGGACAACCTCAGTAATGGGGAGAGGCATTGATCCTGCCTCTTCATCCCCAAGCCCCAGGAAAAGATGCTGAGTTTGGGCTAAGTGTAGTTGGGAGAAGGCAGGTCATCCTTCAAGGTCAGACTCCAGCCACCTCCACACACTGGCTTCCATCTCTCCTGCCCCCAGTGTGCCTGTCAAGCTGACCCCAGTTCCTTGCCAGATGGGTAAGAAGAGAGAGCATTTCTTTGAATTAATCCTAGCTATGCCTTCTTCTGCACTTAACCGAAGGCTGTATGGTAACTATTCCTGGAGACTAGAGTTAGCAGTTCCTTGCTTGGTTTCCTACTAATCACGTGGTACTAATCTTCTGGCTTGACTTGATCATTGTGTTTGCAATGTCCTTCCTGTGGTTGGATGCCAAGCCTGATAAAACTCACTTTCTTTTTTGTCTTTCTTAAGGATTCAGGACAGGCTATACCACTTGTAGTCGAGAGCTGTATCCGATTCATCAATTTATATGGTAAGCGCTGTCTCAGCTCAGTGTGTTCAGTTCACTGTGGAATAGTGCTGGACTGTTTTGGGAGAAAATGATATTCTCAGTCACCTTGGAAGACTTCCTGTCCTCGCTCTGCTCTAGGGAATGGCTGTTACTCAGAATGCTGTCTTTGGAGTCTGCATGTCTATGTCCGGGGTGAGAGAAGGAAGGTTGTGTGAGGGGCCCAGCACATCTGGTCACAGGGCAGTACTAATGACATGGACAGAAAGACTATTCCAGCTCTGTCCTCACTTGTAGTCAATCAGGTTGATAGATTGTAAACTCCATGAAGGGAATGGTGTCGGGAATTTGTTGACCATGGTAAACTTGTGTTTAACTTACTCATTCACCTCAGAACGTAACAGGCTTCATTTTGGCTGTGAGGAATGCAGGAGCAATAGAGGCAAACACTTTGTCGTCCCTGCAAGCCTAACATTCTCGAAAAAGCAAGGAAATCAACAGCAGAAAAAAGAATTGTAGTCACCCTTTGGCATCTCTAGGGATTAGATATAGGCCTGCAGACTGCCAGCCAGATCAGCAGATCTAAGGTCCAGTGTATAAAATGCTATGGCTTTTACCCACCACCCATGTAATCTTCCCATAGTCAGTGAGTCACGCAGAGAGACAGATAGGACCAAGTCCTATGTAAATGCTCTGGAAATAATAATATTGTTTGGGACTAGTAAAACAATATCTATACATATCTAATACAGACACAACTTTTTCTTGAATTTTCAAGCTGTTGTTATTTGAGCCACTAAATATAGTAGCTCATGGATATAATAGACTGTAATATCATGCCTCATAGTAACTCTACCATATGACTAGTTAAAAGAAGTATAGACAGTGACTTTGGGGGTAGGCTGCTTGACCAAAATGGCAGAAGAGCCCCAAGGAGAGCATCCATGCAGCTGGGGTGGGGAAAGTGGGGAATGGCAGTGGTGGTTAGGGATAATGTCCCAGAAGGGTGGGAGAAGACTCTGGGGTGGTAGGAATACTAAACAAAGCCACACTTGTGGGTGTATATGCCTTTCATCTCAGCATTAGGGAGACTGAGGCAGAAGGATCATCGAGAGTTGGAGGCTGGCCTGAGCTACCTAGTAAGTTCGAGGTCAGCCTGGGCATATGATGTCACAACTTACTATCCGTGTGCATACCTTGTTTAGCAGTGAGCATGACACATGAAGGAGCTTTAGAAGCTCGTTGTGTCAGCCCCTGGTCTTCTAGTGGCTAAGCCTTAGTGTGGAAGGCTTAAATGAGTGCATAAAAACAAAACAAAGCAAAAACCCAAAAACTAACAACCAAAGCGCATAATATGTCCTAGCCAAATGTCCACTAAATCCTTACTTTTAAGGGGAAACAATAAATTGTAGCATGAAGAATTGTTCTACCTAAGACAACTAAGACAGGAGAGGTATCCAGTGTCTACAGTAATTTCCATTTGAGAGAGGCTGGCCTACAATTGTGTGGGTCACTGTTTGGTCCTCAGAGCTGCCGGGTATCAGGGACTCCACTGCTTTGCTATTGTTTCTTAGAAACGCTAAAAAATAAAAAAAGAAAGAAAAGGAAGGAAGGAAGGAAGGAAGGAAAAGAAAGGAAGGAGGGAAACAAAGAAAGAAAGAAAAGAAAGAGATGAAGGAAGGAACGAACGAAGGAAGGAAGGAAGAAAGAGTGAGCAGCCATGCTGCTTTTTAATATTGAGTTCACACTTTTTTATTTTTTCTTTCTTGGAAAGGGGTGTTATTCTGTAGCCCTGGCTATCCTTGAACTCTGTAAAATCCTCCTGCCTCAGTTTTAGTCTTGAAAATGCTGGAACTGTAATATGAGCAATTCTGCTCATATTAATAGGAGCTAACCAATTTATTGTATTTACTGATTTTTGGCACCGGGGACCTAACCTTGTGCCTAGTGTCCACAAGACAAAGCACTCTGCCACTGAGCTATGCCTCAAACTCTCTGACTCCCCAATCCCAGGCCAGGATGTACTCTGAAGTTTAGGTTTTCTAAAGGCCAGAGATTACCCATGTGGGAGGGAAGGAATAGTTAATAGCATTTTCCTTCAGACCCAGGAGCAAGTTCACAGGCATGAGACTCTGCATGTATCTGAGTATTTGGGCCAGTTGCTAGCTGTAATTCATTGTCAAGGCCCATTTGAGGTTTCAACTAGGAGCTTGTCAGCAGGAATGGCTACTATAAAAGAAGAGAAAAGAAAGAGATAAGCACGGGAGAGAATTGTCAGTAAGTCCCGTGGCCACATGGAGTCTAGGCCTCGTGTTATTTACATTTACTGTTTGCTTGTGCTGTTATTTCTTTTTTAGGACTCCAGCAGCAGGGAATATTCAGAGTTCCAGGGTCTCAAGTTGAAGTCAATGACATCAAGAATTCCTTTGAGAGAGGTGAGTGTGGACTGACCACCTCACTTGTGGTCAGGAGAAGCCAGGGTTAACACATGTCTCAGGGCCAGTAGTGTACAGGGGCCCTGGGCCCACGCTGGCTTTCAAGAGCTGTGTGTTCATCCTTTTCTTAACTTTGTATTCCACAACATAGTGATGGTAGCTGGAAATCAGCCATATTGGGAGTGTTTACCCCATAGAAACTGGCAAACCCCAAACTCTTTTTTTAGCAGTTCTCCTTTAAACATCCAGCTCTTTCCCCTTCCCCCTTTACTGCATGCTGAAAATCTTAATCCCACGTTCTACATACAAACATTTGAGTGTTTGCATTAGACACAAGTGGGAAGTTTCACACTTGCCCTCATGGGCCAGACATAGTCATGATGTATACACACAAATTATACCTTGTCAAATTACCATCACGCTGTGGGTGCAAACTCAGGTGGATTTTTATGTAGATAGTTGAGCTCATTCCCAAGACACCAAAATTCTAAAATCCCAAAGCTTCTGGCCCCACCCATATTAGTGTTTGATAGTTTTATTGCTTGATCTTATTTATTTTTAAAATAGTGTCTAGGCTAGCCTTAAACTCTGGCTGATACTCCTGTCTCTACTTTCCAACTACTGAGGTTACAGGTGTGAGCTATCATGCCTGACTTTCCACATACTGTGTATGTGTGTTTACATGTTTGTGTGAGTGTATGTATGTACAGGTATACATATGCATTTGTATGTGTAGGGTGGTTGTGTGTGTGTGTTTGAATGTGCAAAGCTGGTATGCTTGTGGAGGCCAGAGGAATGGACAGAAGTTTCTGTCCCACCTGGTCCCACATCTGTTCAGTCCCAAAGAAACACACAGAGGTTTATAATAATTATAAACTGCTTGGCCTGTTAGTTCAGGCTTATTATTAACTACCTCTTACAACTTAAATTAACCCAGAATTCTTATCAATGATTAGCCATGAGGCTTGGTACCTTTTCTCAGTGAGGCATTCTCACCTTGCTTCCTCTATGTCTGGCTGGTGACTGCATCTCTGCCTTTTCTCTTCCCAGAATTCTCCTAGTCTGGTTGCCCCTCCTATACTTCCTACCTGGCTACTGGCCAGTCAGCATTTTATTAAACTGATACAAGTGACCAGTCTTTACAGGGTACATGAGCATTGCCCCACAGCACAGATGTGTCATCCATAGCTGCCACCTTGTTTTTTAAGTCAGGGTATCTCTCACTGGCCTAGAACTCATCAACTAGGAAAGGATGGCTGGTCAGTAAGCCCCACGGACCTGACTGCCCTTACCTCCTCAGCACTGGGATTTCAAGGGCATGCCATTGTGCTTGACTGGTTTTTGTTTGTTTCATTTTTATACTTTTTTTGACTTTTTTATACAGATGGATTTAGGAAATTAAACTCAAGCCCTTAAGCATGGCAAGAACTTTATCAACTAAGCCATCTCCCAGGCTGCTTTTCATTATGTTTTGGGATAGAGTCTCAGATAGCCCAGGTTATCATGAGCTACCATCCTGGGCCTCCCAGACCCTGTTGTCTTAGTTAGGATTTTTATTGTTGTGATAAAATACCATGGCCAAAAGCAACTTGAGAAGGAAAGAATTTATTTCAGCTTACCACTCTTAGGTCACACTCCATCAACTGAGAGAAACCAGGGTAGAAACCCAAAACAGGAACCTGGAGGCAGAGCTGAAACAGGCCCTTGAGGAATGCTGCTTACTAGCTTGCTCAGCCTGCTTTCTTAGACAACCCAGAATCACCTACTAGAAGTAGCATCACCCACAATGGACTGGGCCCTTCCACATCAATCACTAATTAAGGTCAAGCTTATGGAAGTGTTTCCTCTTCCCATATAACATTAGGTATATCAAGCTGATAACCTGTGAATAAAGGCTGCTCATCTTGAGTTACAGTTGCTTACTGGTGACTCTCCATTGAGCTTTACAGTGGTGTCTGGGAGGAAGAACCTACAAACAAGTTTGGCATGTTTCTATGTATAAAGGAAGCTGCTTCTTAGGAAAGTTGGAAAAACTTCTAAAATAGCCCAATTCTTTGTTTTTCCAATGCACTGTTTTGGGGTGGTTTTGTTTTTGTTTTTTGTTTTTATTGGTTTGTTTTGGCAACTTATACAATAGGAGGAATCAGCCATATATTTTCCTGTCCCCCTCCACTTTTCCACTTCAATTAATCAAGGATATAACACAGAGGTGGTAAGGGCAGGATGGACTGAGTGCAGCGTCCCTTTTCCTCAGAATTGCTGATGAGGATAGGTGGCCAGTGACAGTGTCCTGCAAAGGAGGGACCCAATGTGCCCTAAGAAGCCCACTTAACAAATGTCTACCTTTATCTTCATAGTGCCTAGCTTACTGCCACAGCAGAACTGGAAATTTAGCTTTTTTTTTTTTTTATTTAAGGAAAGCATTCAGACATCTTGATCCCTGGCTCTAGGGCCAAGCCCTTTACTGGCCATCCCACATCCTGGAAGACCAGAATGCCATGGGCAGTATGCCATGGGCAGAGCTGGAGAAGACGGCCTTCTTAAGAGAATGTCATAGCAGGAGTACAAAGATGTGACTCCAGTGAGGGAAACCACACCCAAGATGACCCAGTGTGCCCACTTCCAGGAACTGCAGGGAGACCTGCCTCCAGACATACAAATGCACACATGCAGGGTGTTCCCATTGGCAGTGTTTATCACAGCAGGCGACTTAAAGAATGGATGAAAGCATTTGTTTCTAAGCCTAATGACCCAAGTTTGGTTCCTGGGTTCCATATGGTAGAAAAAATGACTTCTGCACGTTGTCCTCTGACCTCCAGGTGTGTGCCTTGTTATATATACAAATAGCTGAGGTAATAACTCTGGTTTAATAATTAGGTTCAAGACCTGTAAGAGGTCAAGTGAGTAGAGTGTGGCCTCCCTATGTGACAGGGTTCTTCACTGCCATTAGGAAGGAAGAAGACTTCTGGGAAGTAATTTGGAGAGATTTCCAGGATTTGTTGTTGAAGCTAAGGAACAAGTTTCTGTAGGAGTGAATGGCATTCTGGGTAAGAAGTAGGGGTCAGTAAAGAAGACAAACAGCTGTTCCCATATGTAGGGTGCTGGCTCACGAACCTCCCTAGAAGACAGGAAAACAACAGTGCTCAAGTGTATTTCTGAAATGTAGCATTTTTATTGATCCATACCACAGATACATCCACCCATCCTCTGTAGATGACTCACGATGCTCAGCGCAATGGAAACACCATATAAGTGGTGGGTAAACCATTGTTTAGGGAAGAGAGACAAAACCCCAAACAAACCAAGTTTGCATGGGTTGATTGCAATAGAATCTCTTTTGTGTGTGTGTGTCTGTGTGTCTGTGTGTGTATGCACACGGAGGCCAAAAGTCAATATTAAATGTCTTCCTTTTTCATCTGCATGTGTTTGAGACCCAGCCTCTCACTGAATCTGGAGCTTGCCAATTGGCTAGCCTGGCTGGCCTATGAGCTTCAGGGATTCTCCTTTCTGCCCCTCCTCAGTACTGGATTGCACACACTACCAAATCTGTCTTTTTATATGGATGCTACTGATCAAACTCAGGAGCTCATGTTGTATAGCAAGCCATCCACTGACCCATTTCCCTAGCCCCCAGAGGCAACCTTCTCTTGAAAATATGTTCATTAGCTTTCGTTGAATCCACAAATGTGCAACTTGTGAGTAGGGAATCCTGACTGCACATGCATTTGTTTATCAGCTGCAGAAGGAAATACAGTAGACAAGTCAGACTAAGAAAATGGTGATGTACAAGGTGTTAGGGAAAGGGTAAAATTGGACCTTCTTGCTGAGAAACTTTAAATCTGGTTTTGGGGGCTGAGGGGATGAGGGCCTGAGTTCAGATGCCCAGCATCCACATAGAAGCCAGGCATAGCAGTTCTTGATATCCTAGTGCTGGAGAGCCCAGGCAAGTGGCTATCTGGAGCTCCCTGACCAGCCAGTCTCCCTGAATCAGTGAGCTCCCAGGGTAACAAGGCGAGAGCCGTTACTGGAGACTGACTCCACGGGGTGTGTCATGCTAACCACAGGGACTCAGACAGGCTTAGAGAGGCAGGGCTGCTAGTCTTACTTTGCAGGTCTCATGTTTGTTACAAAAAGGAAATACCTTTGTGGTGTTTAAAGAAAAAAAAAGGCTACCACCTTACCCCGGCGTCTGTGTCACCACTAGCAGGGCACACATGGCATATGTGTCTCTATATTCTTACCCAAAGTAGTCAACCTGAATCAGGTCATGAGGAAAACAAGAGAAAGCCAGAATATGAGGCAGTTCTGTCTTCTACAAGACAGAAAGGAGTACATCATCAAACACAAACTTAGCACTCAAAAAACATTGGCATTTATTTTATATTTATAAAACCAAAAAGGTGGCTGGCCTTTAAGCCAGGCACGCTAGCGGGACACCTTAAATCTCAGCATTTGGGAGCAGAAGCAGAAGGATTGTCCCAAGTTCCAGGTCATCCAGGGATACATGGAGACCATGCCTCAAACAAACAAAAAGAACAACTGCCAACTACCAAATGAATTGTGGGAACTCAGAATAGCACATGTATTTTGAAAACAAAATTCCATGACAGACATAGTGGGTGGAGTTTGAATGTGGGCTGTGTACAGTGTTATTTTTGGAAGGATTGTCTCTTTCTTGGTTTAGATAAAGTTATTGTTAGCTGAGAATATCCTGATTCTTAAGAGAAATGTGTTATGATATCCAAAGTTCTCTAATCTTTGAGCCATGATGTATATAATAAAGAGAAAACTCAGGAGAGGGATGAGTAAAAGGTGATAGACATGCATGATTAGATGCTTATCTCTTTTCTGGGGATTTGAACATTTTCTAATAATAATTCAAAGCATGCAGAGACTGAGGATCACAGGTTCTCAGGCTTGCCCCATCCTTTCCCCCTCCTATCCAGGCAGGCCAGGTCACCTCCAGTGTTGGAAAGAGATTCTCCTTCCTCACCAGCCTAAACCATTGTCTCCACACAGGTGAAGACCCCCTCGTGGATGACCAAAATGAGCGAGATATCAATTCAGTCGCTGGTGTTTTAAAGCTGTATTTCCGAGGCCTGGAAAATCCACTCTTTCCTAAGGAAAGGTTTCAAGATTTGATATCTACTATTAGTAAGTATTTTCCAGGTGGACAACCCATTGCCAGGGTCTTTACAGAAGTTGCAGGGCTGGCTCTTTATCCTGCCAGGCACGGGAGAGGGACACTTATGAGAGAAGTCTGGTCCTCAGAGTGCTCCAAGACCCAGCTGTATAGATAGCACAATGGACTGATGGACATGGTGCATTCATGTACAACAGAGCTAAGAGAAGAGGTATAGAGGAACCTGGGGTCAGAGTAGACCTGTGCGGGGGATGTGGATAAGCCTTCCAAGAGGAGGGAACACTGGAAGACCTGGAAGGGTTGGGGACAGTGGACCCCTTGGGTCAACAGTGCATGGTGCAAGAGGTTGGTACAGTTGCAAGAGAAGTACGTATGAACATCTTTGAAGGACCCCACAGCTTTTGTCTTTGGGTGGTAGGGATCTGTGGAAGGCTTAGGGATCAGGTCAGCAGACAAGAGAAATGGTGACAGTCAACTGCCTGGGAGATCATCTTTACCCTGCTAGTCATGAGAGTGCTTGACAGATGGAGGAGATACTGGCAGTTCCTGGGATGGGAGAGAAGGAAGGCCATGCTTAAGCCCTCATGTTTTCTTTCTTTGTTCACCACGTTTCTCAGTGTTTCCTTCCTGCTCATCTTTTAAGATCTATGCCAAACTCTAAACCAAACTCTAAATCCCAGTACACAAAGACTCCGTGTCGCTGACTTAGCCAGTATCATTAGACCAGACCCCCATAACTCAGAACCTTGTGCAGGACAATGAGTGGATAAGGAGGGAAATCCCAGCATAGATCATGACTGTGCCTGACCAAAGTCTCATGGTGAGAGGGTCTCTTCTGTTCTGTCTACGGCTCTGACTATGGCATAGAGAATCTTTCACACATCAACCTCCGTCCAAATGCAATCGCCAGGGTCATCTTTCAAAGCCTTTGTCGTTTAGTGGCACCCCTTGCATTTGTTGAGCAGTAGCTCCCCTTCTGTGCTCTTGATTGCCAGAGTTGCAGTTATCCCCCAGTTGACTGCAGTGCGGGGTTTTGAATAGGAAATCCTAGAAATACTAAGTTTTAAGTGATCTTCATCCCATGCACTGCTCTAACTGTTCTCATTCATTGTTGACTGCTAGTACCTTCCTGTGTCTATTTCATGAGGTAAATTTTCCCAAAGGTGTGTATGCTAAAGGATATGGTACAGATGGGTTCCCTGCCTTCGGCATGTCTTAGAACATAGCCCCGCCGTTACATATTTGTATGCTCTTTCCTAGTTATAACAAAGGATTGTCCATTTTTTCTTATAACAGAATGATAAAAGTTCTTTAAAAAAATCAGGGAGGTGGCTCAGAGGTTAAGATTACTGGCTGCTTTTCCAGAGGTCCTGAGTTCAATTCCTGGTAACCACTTAGTGGCTCACAACCATCTAGAATGAGATCTAGTGTCCTCTTCTGACCTGCAGGCAGAACGTTGTATATATAATAACTAAATCTAAATCTAAAAAAAATACAATGTAGTAAATAACCAAAGAGGGGGTACCTGCCGTGAATGACTGACAGGTGGGTCTGGAGGACTTGTAAAGAGGCAGTGGAATTTATGCGTAAAATACTGACTGATATCTTACTTGGGTGAAACTTTCTCCAGCCAGGTCTTGAAGGTGAGCTAGAGGGATCAATAACCCTGTTGAAATTTAAGGCAAACAACATCTCTCTGCACATGATCCACAGTCAGGGCATATGGGGGCTGCTGCCAGAATGGGCTTCCTTTAGCTATACATCCCACGCAATGCCTTGTCAGGAAACAAGCATTCCAACTTTGGCAATAACACCTCACAGACAGGTGTGTCTCCAGATAGTTTTCAGACCCCGGGGGAGAACAGTGGCCAGAAGTTGAAGCAGGCAAGATTGTCTGTAGCTCTGCCATGTTGACTGCTGAGGAGAGCAGTGGCTTTAGGGAGCTGGGATACTGTGAGGAAAACATCACTGACGTGTGGCATGTTGGCTGGACACACATCATCGGCATCACACTGCTTGTAGTTCTAGGCTGTCAACTCTATAGGTCCTGCTCTGTCTTGCAGGCCATAATATCAGCATTTGGCTCTTTAAGGTTCACTTGAGAACCGATCCCAGGTGAGATGCTTGGCATGTGCCAAGCCATCTCGTCAATAAGTCATTCAAGGAGCCTGTGTTTGCACTGTTCTTTTCTGAGTGACTGTGGTGTGCCAGGCCTATGCTGTGGCTGGTGCCTGCTACACATTACTAAACCCCCATCCCTGCCTGTGTCATCAGGACTCCAAGACTGCCAATGACAGAAACTTAAACTATCTGAGACCATACAGCAGCGTATGTCAGTTCCTCTACCAGAACACTTTAGAGCCATCGGTTTTGGATGTCACATGTCCACTCTGGGGTTCGTGACACTCCCTTGATCCTCAGACAGGATACTCTTTCCTAGCAGTCCCTAGCTGCTCCAGATTTTCTGCTACTGGAGTTCCAGGTACCTCTCTGTAGATTTCTCCATGGTCTTCTAGACCAGCTCAAGTCCCTGTAACAGAGAGGAGGTGGGGTCTGGAGATATCTGCTGCCTTGCTTTATGGGTAACAGGCATCCTGAACCCTCTGTGCCTTACAGAACTGGAGAACCCAGCTGACAGGGTGCACCCCATCCAGCAGATCCTCATCACCCTGCCCCGCGTGGTCATCGTGGTCATGAGATACCTCTTTGCTTTCCTCAATCAGTGAGTACTGGCCCGGGGAGCCCTCCGACTGGCCTCCTGGGGGAGGGGTGTCCCAAGGCTCTTAAAAACACTACTGTGATAAATCGGAATACAGGAGCTTCCTGCATTTGTGTGGCGTCCCACTTTCCCCCACAGAAGAAAGCATGGAGGAGGATCTGCCTTTTGGGTGAACGGTGGGTACCTGCTCTCTCCTAGCCTTTCCCAGTACAGTGATGAGAACATGATGGATCCCTACAACTTGGCCATCTGCTTCGGGCCCACCCTCATGCATATCCCTGATGGGCAGGACCCTGTATCCTGCCAGGCGCATGTCAATGAAGTCATCAAAACCATCATCATCCACCATGAAGCCATCTTCCCCAGCCCGCGGGAGCTAGAGGGACCCGTGTATGAAAAATGCATGGCTGGAGGGGAAGAGTACTGGTAAGGCACCCTTCCTCTTAATATGACCGTTAGCACCATCCTATCGTTGTTAGGAACAGTCAGAAGCCTTCCAGTTTTCTCATTACACTAGGGTCCGTGTACCATACATAGTTTTCCACGCAGACTTTGCCATAGTCCCGCGTGAGCAACAGATACATCGGCTAAGATTTTGTAAGTTGCAAGGAATAAAACACACTTTCAAATAGCTGAAGCCAAACGTGCGTTGACTTAACTGTGTCATCAGATATAGCTGGGCGCAGAGGCGCGGCTGTTGTTATCAGGACCTGGCCCTGAAGTTTCCTACCCTGACCTTGCTTACTTCTGTGCTGGCTTCAGCATCTCACTTCATGGCTGGCAGAAGGCAGCCAGCGAGCACCTTAAGCTTCGTCACCCATTCTCTGCATCCCCAACAGAAGAAGAGCTTCTCTTTCCCAGACATTCCTATAGGAAGTTCCCAGGAATTGTTCTGGGGGCTCCATTTGAGTCTGAGGAGCTCTCATAATGTGGTGGCTGGCCATGTGTGAGGCCTATCTCAGGAAGCAGAAGAGTGGGTGTCCCCATAATGGACCTCAACAGCTGAAGTGATACCCTTGTCACCAACCTCTCCCATCCAGGAGTTCTCTCTTCCAGAGCTTCTTGTCTCAATGTCCCACCTCAGGTCAGCGATCATTAGTGGTAACTCTCCTAGCTGTTAGGACTCCCTGTGTCAGGAGAAACAGTTAAGAGCCTTTGCGGGTCCAGGCCTGGCTGCCTTCCCCAAGCTAAGCCTGAGAGAGAGAAGATGACTTTGTGTTTAAATTGTAGTGAAAGAGTGACCACAGACAGCGCCAGCATTCCAGATGTTGCAGGAAACTAGGGTGAAGGGAAGTTTTTGCGCTGAAAAAAACGACAGAGAGGCTCTGAACATAGCCCGCTGGTAGAGCATATACTTCCTGTGTGGGAGGTCCTGATTTGAGCCTCAGCACCAAAACAGAACAAAAAAGATCCATGTTGGGGCTAGAGTGATGGCTCAGCAGCTGAGGGTATGAATTGTTCTTATAGTGGATTCTACTTCATTTCCCAGAACCCAGCTCACAGCTGCCTGAACTCCAGCTCCAGATAATCTGATGCCCTCTTCTGCCCTCCACAGGCACCTGCATGCACACACACACACACACACACACACACACACACACATACACACACACACACATCCTCCCCACCCTCCACCCCGCATACAAATAATTATTTTAAGGTAAATGTTTAAGGAAACAGGTATGTTTACCTCAGTTATCACCCAATTTGTGTATCTATTGAATGATCACACGATACCCTACAAATGTGTAATTTGTATGCTTTTTCTACCAATTATGTTTTTAATTAAGAAGGCAGAGAAGAGAAAATTACTAAGCATACTGCTTGAGACAAGTCAGATGTTCCAGCTGTTACATTGTCCCCAACCCAGGTCAACACAACACTACACTTAAGTCTTTCTGCCAGGTGCCTGCAGGGAACTTAGACATTTTAGTTTGGTGTTTTTGAAAGAGTCTTACTATTTAGCCAAATCTGGTATTGAACTTGTGCTCCTCCTGCCTCAATAAGTGCTGGGTTTGTAGACTTGATCTGTCATGGCCAGTGGGAATTTGGGCTTTTGATTAAAGAATGCCTGGATGCTTCAATTGCCCCCATTCTCTAGGGTTACTAGGCAACTGCTTTAAAGAAGCCTGTCTGTCTCAGTGCACATTCTTCTCCAAACAGACATGAAGGGCCACAGGGTGTCTGGTCACAGTGGCCTCTGGTCATAGCTCTCTGTCCTAACACTGTAAAGGACCCACATGCAGCTAGAAAAGCACAGTTTCAGCATAAAGAGAAGCTAGACATACAACTTACACATGCACAATACACACTCACCACTTTGACACTTTTCTTCATTTCCTGTGAGACTAGAAAATTAGCAATCACATGGTCACTTTGAAAGTATTTTCAAAACTAAAAACAGAAATGAAGGTCTGAAGGTCTCAGTGTAGGGATCAAATCCATTCGTTCAGCAGTGCCCACCCCCTCCACCCAGCATCCTCTGGGGACTGGATCTTCAGGTGGCAGGGATGGTGCCTGGGGTAGAGTAGCTTCAGTGGGAGGAGTGTTAAGAGGACCAGAGGCAAGTTAGTTCAGAGGGAGCCCCTGAGCCAATCACAGGCCACCAGGAAAGGCTTCCCAAGGAGGTAAAGAAAGATCCAAGCCAGCAACCGAAACTGGGGCCAGTTCACAGAGGACTAGGGCAAGAAAGTCCGAGGCTTGCAGCACTCAGCAGAGTGAAAAGAGTCTCGGGTTATTGAGGGTGGGGTGTGTGACGGGGGTGGTGAGGTGCCAGGCTGCATAGGTCAGCTGGAGGCCGGTTCTGATGCCCTTGATCTGGATCTAATCCTGGTGGCAATGGGGAATTTTTCACAATATAGTCTCTATCTCTTTTTGTTCTTTTAAAAACAGTCTCAGGTAGCCCAGACTGGCCCCAAACTCATTATATAGCCGAAGCTCACTTGAGCTTCTGATCCTCCAGCCGTTACCTACTGAGAGCTGGAATTACAGGCATGCACTACTAGGCCAGGTTCGTGTGATGCCGGAGAGAGACGGCAGGCCTTTGGACATGCTAGACACTACCAGCTGAGCTGCCTAAAGCTATTTTTTTAATGGCATCGTAAATGTCACCTCCTATTAAAAGCCATCCAGATCATTCTATGTTGGTTCCCTCTCCTGCTCTCATCTAGACCTATTTTTTATAAATCATTATTTCATCTAGCAACTGTTTTATGCACTGGCCCCATTACGTGGGCTGTTTGCTCTCCCTAGAATGTGAGCAGTGAGGTCAGGACCTGGTCCACTTGATTTCTCATTGTGTCCTTCCTACTTAACACAGTGGGATATAGTAGAACCCAGTTAATAGCTTGATGAAAACCTGGCACGTACGCACGCACACACACACACACACATACACACACACTCCATGAGGAGAGCCCTGGCCTTCAGATACTTGCAGTTTCCCGCTGCCGTCTGAATCTCATTGAGCACTTAAGCATTTCAGCCCACATCGGCTACTATACTTGAGACTGTATCATCAATACTGAACTGAAGTCTCTGTAGCCCAGGGTTCTGAAAACTAAGAGGTATACCACATGTAGTGAGGGCATTCATGCTAAATCATCCCATGGTGGAAGGCAAAGGGGAAGAAAGTGTGAGAACAAGCAAGAGAGCCCCAAGGGATCAGGGCTAACGCAGTAAGTCTGCTCTCATATAACTGGCCTTGATCAACACCAGTTTCTGACAACACAGCCCCTATGGTCTGATCGTCCTTGCTTAGACTGTACCTCCAAACATGGTGACACTGAGGATGATGCTCTCAATACACATACTCAAGCCTTTGACAATCTAGTCCATTCCAGAGCTAGGGTCACTAAGGCAGTATTCAGGAAAGTCCCCAACAAGTCCTCTTCCTATGTTTGCTTGCAGCGACAGCCCACACAGTGAGCCAGGGACGATTGATGAAGTTGACCATGACAATGGCACAGAGCCTCATACCAGTGACGAAGGTGAGTAGGGGGAGGGTCTAGGCCAAAAGACCCACAGGGATCTCTCATGCTTACTCAAGCCAATCACAGAGGCAGTACCCACAGCCCCACTGCTCCAGGTAGCACGGGGGCCCTTCAGCATGGACAGGGACCCAGAAAAGGCTTAATGCTTGCCTTGGGTCCTAGCATAGGTCCACATAGAGCAAATCCTGGTAGGTGCTATACATTTACAACACACCACTCCTGGCCCATGTCATCCTCTGTGTGTTCTGCCTGGATCAGTAAAAGTCCTCAGAGACAAATGTCTAAGAGGAAAGTATCCCCTGTTCCTCTGCTGTTCCTGGCCCCAGCTTGAGGATCTGCTTTGCACCAGGCCTTTGCTGGGACCTGGGACCTGGGACCTGGTGATGAATGAGGAGATCCTCAAAAAGTTTCCGAACTCTCAGCAGACTTCAACAGATTGGAAGCACCTTTCAAAGAACAGATTGACAGTGTGAGCTAAAAGGGACCTGCCCATGTAGGGGCACCTGAGAATTGCTTGGATAGTGTGGAGTGTGGAGAGAAACAGATGTGTGGGGGAGGGGGACCACACAGATGAGCAGTCTGAGTTAAATGGGCTCAGGCCTCCTTACCCACTAAGACATAGTGGGCAGAGTCTAGGTCAGAAATCTCACAGGGGCTCTCATGCCTGCTGGAGCTGGCCACAGGACTAGTCTCCACCGTCTCACAGATATTCAAGCAGCATAGCTACCCTTCAGTACATGAGGACCCATGGTGCTGAGGGGCAGCACTAAAACCTTCTATCTCCTGGAAAAGCAACAGTAAATATTCTGTCTTTAGGTCTGTTGCCCATTTTAAATTTGTCTTTTTAGTATTGAGTTGTAACGGCTCTTTACATATTCTAAATATAAGTTTCTTATCTCAAATGTGATTTTCAAATGTTTTCTTCCATTATGAGACTTGCATATTGTTTTCCAAATGTTGTCCTTTGAGGCACAAAAAGTTTTAATTTTAATAGAGTCCAATTCATCCGTTTTTATTTTGTTGTTCATTGTTTTGACTATATTCATGAAAGCCCTTGTCTTGCCTTCTTTTTTGCCAGGTGTCTTATGGGGGTGGGGTGAGGGGGGAGATGGAGGGAATGGGAGGAGGGGAGGGAGTGGGAACTGGGATTGCTGTATAAAATTTTTTTTCCATTTTTTTATTGAGAAAAGGAGAAAAAAAACAAGTTTCCACCTCCTCCCAGCCTCCCATTTCCCTCCCCCTCCTCCCACCCTTCTCCCCCTCCTCCCACCCTTCTCCCCCTCCCCCCACTCCTCTCCCTCTCCCTCTCCAGTCCAAAGAGCAGTCAGGGTTCCCTGCCCTGTGGTAAGTCCTAGGTCCTCCCCTCTCCGTCCATTTCTAGGAAGGTGAACATCCAAACTGGCTAGGCTCCCACAAAGCCAGCACATTACGTAGGTTCAAAACCCCGTGCCATTGTCCTTGGCTTCTCATCAGCCCTCATTGATCGCCATGCTCAGAGAGTCCAGTTTTATCCCATGCTTTTTCATTCACAGTCCAGCTGGCCTTGGTGAGCTCCCAATAGATCAGCTCCACTGTCTCAGTGGGTGGGTGCACCCCTCGTGGTCCCGACTTCTTTGCTCATGTTCTCTCTCCTTCTGCTCCTCATTGGGACCTTGGGAGCTCAGTCCAGTGCTCCAGTGTGGGTCTCTGTCTCTATCTCCATCCATCACCAGATGAAGGTTCTATGATGACATGCAAGATATTCGTCAGTATTGCTATAGGATAGGGTCATTTCAGGTTCCCTATCCTCAGCTGCCCAAGGAACTAACTGGGGACCTTGGCTTGGGCATCTGGGAGCCACTCTAGGTTCAAGTCTCTTGCCAACTCTAACGTGGCTCCCTTAACTAGGAATTGTGCTTCCGTGCTCCCCTATCCAACCTTCCTTTATCCCAATCCTCCTTTTTCCCCAAGTTCCCCCCATTCTCCCCTTCTCCCTTTTCTCTCCCGATCTCCCCTTACCCCCATCCCACCCCACCCCCAAGATCTCAATTTTCTCCCCGGCCATTTTGTCTACTTCCCATAGCCAAGAGGACAACTATATGTTTTTCCTTTGGTTCACCTTCTTACTTAGCTTCTTTGGGATCACCAATTGTAGACTCCGTGACCCTTGTTTATGGCTAGAAACCAATTATGAGTGAGTACATCCCATATTCATCTTTTTGGGTCTGGGTTACCTCAGTCAGGATAGTATTTTCTATTTCCGTCCATTTGCATGCAAAATTCGAGAAGTCATTGTTTTTTTACCGCAGCGTAGTACTCTAATGTGTAGATATTCCACACTTTCTTCATCCATTCTTCCATTGAAGGGCATCTAGGTTGTTTCCAGGTTCTGGCTATTACAAATAATACTGCTATGAACATAGTTGAACAAATGCTCTTGTCATATGATCGGGCATCTCTTGGGTATATTCCCAGGAGTGGTATTGCTGGGTCCAGGGGTAGGTTGATCCCGAATTTCCTGAGAAACCGAAACACCGATTTCCAAAGTGGTTGCACAAGATTGCATTCCCACCAACAATGGATGAGGATACCCCTTCCTCCACAGCCTCTCGAGCAAAGGCTATCATTGGAGTTTTTTATTTTAGCCATTCTGACAGGTGTAAGATGATATCTCAAAGTTGTTTTGATTTGCATTTCCCTGATCGCTAAGGAGGTTGAGCATGACCTTAAGTGTCTCTTGGCCATTTGAACTTCCTCTGCTGAGAATTCTCTGTTCAGTTCAGTGCCCCATTTTTTAATTGGGTTAATTAGCATTTTAAAGTCTAGTTTCCTGAGTTCTCTATATATTTTGGAGATCAGACCTTTGTCTGTTGCGGGGTTGGTGAAGATCTTCTCCCAGTCAGTAGGTTGCCTTTTTGTCTTGGTGACAGTGTCCTTTGCTTTACAGAAGCTTCTCAGTTTTAGTAGGTCCCATTTATTCAATGTTGCCCTTAATGTCTGTGCTGTTGGGGTTACACATAGGAAGCGATCTCCTGTGCCCATCTGTTGTAGGGTACTTCCCAATTTCTCTTCTATCAGGTTCAATGTGTTCTGACTGATAGTAAGGTCTTTAATCCATTTGGACTTGAGTTTTGTGCATGGTGATAGATATGGGTCTATTTTCATTCTTCTACAGGTTGACATCCAGTTATGCCAGCACCATTTGTTGAAAATGCTTTCTTTCTTCCATTGTATACTTTTGGCTCCTTTATCAAAAATGAGGTGTTCATAGGTTTGTGGGTTAAAATCCGGGTCTTCTATACGATTCCATTGGTCGACTTCTCTGTTTTTATGCCAGTACCACACTGTTTTCATCACTGTAGCTCTGTAATAGAGTTTGAAGTCAGGGATGGTAATGCCTCCAGACAATCCTTTATTGTATAGGATTGTTTTGGCTATCCTGGGTTTTTTGTTTTTCCATATAAAGTTGATTATTGTCCTCTCAAGATCTGTGAAGAATTTTGATGGGACCTTGATGGGGATTGCATTGAATCTATAAATTGCCTTTGGTAGAATTGCCATTTTTACTATGTTGATCCTCCCAATCCAAGAGCAAGGGAGGTCCTTCCATTTTCTGGTATACTCTTCAGTTTCTTTCTTCAATGCCTTAAAGTTCTTGTCAAATAAATCTTTCACTTCCTTGGTTAGAGTTACCCCAAGATATTTTATGCTGTTTGTGGCTATCGTGAAAGGTGAAGCTTCTCTGATTTCCCTCTCTGCTTCCATATCCTTTGTGTATAAGAGGGCGACTGATTTTTTGGAGTTGATCTTGTATCCTGCCACATTACTAAAGCTGTTTATCAGCTGTAAAAGTTCTTTGGTGGAGTTTTGGGGGTCGCTTATGTACACTATCATATCATCTGCAAATAACGAAAGTTTCACTTCTTCCTTTCCAATTCGAATCCCCTTGATCCCCTTATGTTGTCTTATTGCTATTGCTAGAACTTCAAGCACTATATTGAAGAGGCATGGCGAGAGTGGACAGCCTTGTCATGTTCCTGAGTTTAGTGGGATGGCTTTAAGTTTCTCTCCATTTCATTTGATGTTAGCTGTCGGCTTGCTGTATATAGCTTTTATTATATTTAGGTATGACCCTTGTATCCCTAATCTCTCCAATACTTTTATCATAAAGGGATGTTGAATTTTGTCAAACGCTTTTTCAGCATCTAATGAAATGATCATATGGTTTTTTTCTTTCAGTTTATTTATATGATGGATTACATTGATAGATTTTCGTATGTTGAACCAGCCCTGCATCCCTGGGATGAAGCCTACTTGATCATAATGGATAATTTTTCTAATGTGTTCTTGGATACGGTTTGCCAGTATTTTGTTGAGGATTTTTGCGTCGAAGTTCATGAGTGAGATTGGCCTGTAATTCTCTTTCTTGGTTGAGTCTTTGTGTGGTTTTGGTATCAGAGTGACTGTAGCTTCATAAAAGGAGTTTGGCAATGACTCTTCTGTTTCTATATTGTGAAATACATTAAGGAGTATAGGTATTAGGTCTTCTTGGAAGTTCTGGTAGAATTCCGCATTGAAACCATCTGGTCCTGGGCTTCTTTTGGTAGGGAGGTTTTTGATAACCTCTTCTAATTCTTCTCGACTAACAGGTCTATTTAGATTGTTCACCTGGTCCTGGTTTAACTTTGGTATATGGTATTTATCTAAAAAAGTGTCCATTTCCTTTACATTTTCCAGTTTTGTGGCATATAGGCTTTTGTAGTAAGATCTAATGATTCTCTGAATTTCCTCTGTGTCTGTGGTTATGTCCCCCTTTTCATTTCTGATCTTATTAATTTGCAAATTCTCTCTCTGCCGTTTGATTAGTTTGGATAGGGGTTTGTCAATCTTGTTGATTTTCTCCAGGAACCAGCTTTTTGTTTCATTGATTCTTTGGATTGTTTTCTGTGTTTCTATTTTGTTGATTTCAGCCCTCAGTTTGATTATTTCCAGTCTTCTACTCCTCCTAGGTGAGTCTG